TCATCCACTGGGACTTTTTGACTCCTCCAGGCGTAATCTTGGGTACATAGGCATGAACTGCAGACATAACCGTGTCTTTAAGAAACGACCATGAATCAGCCACATTCATGTCCTTAATACAGTCCGAAATATTCGCCGCAATCACTGTTTCAATAAGAATAAGAACAGGAAGTGGGAGCCTACATCTTCACAATCATCAACAAGGACAAACGTGCATGTAGCATCACCACGTAAAAGAATAATAATAATAATAGCGGTTTCAGCGTTTATTAGGCCCTAGGCCTGTCGCCGATTCTTAACATCGCAGAATATTCACAGCTTGGTGCGGTTTCGAACGCGCAACTCACTGCTTCAATTCTGCTTTGCTTAACCGCCCGGCCTCCTCGCCGATTCTGACCAGAAATTCTGGCGCACAGAGCTGGAATCGAACCCGCGCCTCTCTGCTCCAATCTTGGTACTCTCAACTGTAACCACTGTGCCACCCTGTGAATAGAATAGAAGTGTCGGCATTGAAGAAATATGCCCATGGCCTGTTGCCGATTTTTGAACTTTTAGTGACTTGATTCACAAGGGATCCGGCCTTTGGAACCCGATCTTTCCATAACAGATTATTGATTGAGATAGCTGCTGGACTTATTGCCTGGTCCGTAATTTGCTAGGCATTTTAAGACTGAACATATGCTCCTGCATAGCTTCGTCTGGACTTATTGCCTGGTCCGTAATTTGCTAGGCATTTTAAGACTGAACATATGCTCCTGCATAGCTTCGTCTAATGACTCTAATCTGTTTTTGAAGATGTTCTTACTCGGAGCGTCAACGATGCTGGGGATATAAACCCCGTAAAAACCATTAACACCGCTGCATTATGAATTGCACACAAAACACTTGTTCGTTTATAGAGTCGAACAGTAATGTGTGAGATATCGTATATGAAATTAGATATTACCGGGGGTAATGAGCAACTCTTGTGTTGTTCCTACCCGACTTCTGCTGTGATAAATATACTGCATTGCCTCAAACGGCCTGGTATAGAAAAGCAGGTAGTGTCAGCGTTGAAGAATCAACCGAGCTAACCCTGTCACTAATTCATATATGTTCTTTTTAACTTGCCTCCCGGCACTTTTTGATGTAATTTTTCCAAAATTGATGCTAAAGTCAAGTAGGTAGTAATTTCACTGGGATTTCGGACTCGCTCATAATCGAGGCATCGATAGACAATGGCCCGTATGCTAAATAGGGCACTAGCACTACGAAGTAGCACTACGCACTACACGCCGTACGTAGTGCCTACTAGTGCGACATGGAACACTACGGTTGGCATGCTAAATAGGGCACTAGCACTATGAAGTAGCACTACGCACTACAAGCCATAGTGCGGTACTAGTGCGACATGGAACACTACGGTTGGCATGCTAAATAGGGCACTAGCACTATGAAGTAGCACTACGCACTACAAGCCACAGTGCGGCATGGAGCACTACGGTTGGTATGCTAAATAGGGCCAAAAGCATAACGCGCACTACAAAAATCTGAAGTGTCCTACACACCGCACTTCACGACGACACTACGGTATATTTCACCTTGTTTACTTCGTCAGCTATGGATCTGTTTGGCTTACAGCAAAGGCATCATCGCGTAAAAACCTCAGGAACTACATGCCATGATATAAAAAAGTGTTCCGCTTTATGGCTGGCATTTTCCTTGGCGAAACAGATGAACAGCGTAGAAGTAGAAATACTTTTCTTGTTTTTGATACCATGTTTTGAAATTTTTTTGAGTCATTTTGGATTTTTCTGCAAGAACTTTCCATGCTTCTCTCTTTTGTTCGATGTCTTTGGGAAGCGTGGCTTTTGAAGATATGATGGGAAAGGTGCGCAGACGCATTGCGAATTTCAGCTCACCATCACAATTTTCACTAGTACCATTATATACCATCACAATTAGACATTTTACATCAATCTTCTGCAAACAATGAGAATTACTTACGGAATAATTAATTATTTGAGCACTTAACTACCATTCTTCAATAGACTCATAGCGTAGTGCGGCACTTTAAAGTACTCTAACAGCGAAGTAGCACTTCAAAGTCTTTCTGCATACGAATCAGTAGTGCGACACTAAGCGACACTAAACAGTGTAGAGCTACTTCGAAGTGCTTAGTGTCAGTGACGAATTTAGCATGCCAACAGGACACTTTGTAGTGCATGGTGCTACTTCGTAGTGCTAGTGCCCTATTTAGCATACGGGCCAATGCAAGCATCAGCGTACTTAGATCCCTATTCTTCAGCACCTCCACATCAGCCTATCTACAGCCACATTCTCATTGAAATCCGCCTATTTATCTCAGTCACAGACCAGTGAGCTCTAGCCCACAAGTATTTCATACCATTTTAGTAGAACGCAATGACCCAGGTTACATTTTCCCCAAGAACCATGCCAGAGTAGAACATCTTGCTCGCTGACGCTGTAACGGCAACGGTAAGCCGAAAATCGGGCAAAAAGGAAAACAGACATTGACATCATGCGGTTTGCTTTGACGAAGTGTCCTTGCAAAATAAAAGCAACACTACGTGATCAAGCCCGCATCACGTTCCTATCAAGCACTGTCCCTCTGTTTTCCCTTTGAAGACAAATACTATTTGTAAGGGATTGGCTACTACATATCTCAAATGTGAGTATGCATCGAATTGAAGTGTCGGCACTGAAGAAATAGGCCCATGGTCTGTTGCCGATTCTTATACTTTTCGTGACTTGATTCACAAGTGATCCGGCCTTTGGAACCCGATCTCTCCATAACTGACGATTGATTGAGATAGCTGCTGGACTTATTGCCTGGTCCGTAAGGTGCTAGGCATTTTAAGACTGAACATATGCATCTGCATAGCTTCGTCTAGTCTTTTCTTGAAGGCGTTCATACTCGGAGCGTCAACGCTGCTATCAGGGAGGCTGTTCCACATGTCGGTGACTCGAAGCGAGAAGAAATGTTGTCGCATTGATGTGCTACAACGCAGTTTTTTAGTACAACGCAGCATGACCAATAAATTAATTATAAATGGTGACGATTGTAAAAGACATATATTTTATTAATTTGGGACATTTATACCATAACATTGGAGAAGAAGGACAAACTATGAATAATTCTGAGCGTTTCATTAATCGGCGCAATATGGCACCGCGAAGAGGCACCAACCTCTCAACGTCAACACAACCCTTCCACGCAGTGTTTCTTCGTGACGAACATATGTCGGAGCTCCGGTAGTCGTTTCCACATTTCTTTAACATAAAACTTGTCAAAGCCAAAATGGCATTGCGTAAAGTTAAAGGCAATTTAGAACGCATGTTCGATAAAAACTTGACTGATTTAGTGAGAGGAATACGAAACAACAAAGACAATGAGGTAAGTTCCTCATTTACGACGAAAATCATAGATGAAGTCCACAGTTTTCATGAATAGTTAAAATTAAAAAAGCAACATTAGGTACTTCTCAATTCCTTATGCTACAATCTTTATCAATTATTCCAAGATAGTTTGAATGCAATTAGGCACTATGTCTCATTTTTTTTTTATACTACTGTATTACTGTGTCCCATCTCATGTGAGGCTGTGAGCTATTCACAAGATATCTGTTTAAGTAACTGTTTCTGTCTTTCACTCTTTCTGATCATCTTTAGCAAATTAATAATAATTTCATTCAAATTTCAAAGATTGTATTTTGGATATTTGAATCACTGTTAGTCTCAGGAGTCTTAGCTATTTGCCTGGCCTTTACCCAAAAGAATTGAGTAGCTATTATTTACAATACAATCATTGAATCAATGCAGCCTATTATGCCCTATATAGCTAGCTAAATCAGGCCAGAAGGGCAGAACTTGCAGAAGCTGCATTCATGCTCCAATTACTAATCCAAAAAAAAAATATATTATCCAATATCCAGAACTGCTTCTCAATTGAAATCTTACTGATTTTGAATTCATGGTCATCAGGTCATGGGTCCTAGCTACTTTCAGGAAAAGAATTTTATTTTTACCCTCACCCTGCCCTGGCCAATGGCCATTACCATTTACCATGGACATGCCTACATGAAGGTTTAGAATTTTCTACTTATGACTAGAATCTTGATCCTGAAGTGACAAACTTTTAATACATGTGGAATCTCATGGCTAGGTTGCATATACTGATACTTTCCTCAACAGTCAACAGTCAACACTAAGTCTGAATATGATGTGAGATAATTCATCTACCCTACCTTGGCTACCTAGCTAGATTCTTGTTGCTTCTAAAATGACAGAAAAGCTTAGTTGTGGTTCAAAAGGTAGATATATTCCACACTTGTTAGTTGTGGCAGAATGTGGCCATGGGTTTAATTTATTCTCTGACATTGGCAGTTTTGGCTCTATATTTTATTTATTTAGATTCTCCCTATTTTCAGTGCTCACTTTATTTAATGTGACAGACTGACAGTATTCTACTAATCTACTTATACCTAGGTATATTTAATCATGATTTTTTTAAACAAATTCTTGTAACCAGACACAAAATATATCTAGTCTTCAAACCACTACCTAGTGCTAAGAGTTTTTTTGCTAATCCCATTTTAGAGCCTTTAAATTCCAAAGTTATTTGAAAATATGTCACTATTGAGCATTGTGACAAAAAAAGGATTTTTAAACTCAGTTCCTTTTTAATAGCCTGATCTAGTTCAAATTTTTGTTCAATATCCTATGGAGTTACCCAGTTAAATATTGAGGGCCTAACAGCTCATTGGGAAGGTCAACAAAAAAGTATCTATTTCCACTACTACCTATGCTTTAGAGCTACAAGATTTTTTTTTGTAGGAAATTTTGCTTGTAACTAAGTCTAGAACTCAACTATATCCTATATTTACCTATACCGATATAAACTATATCACCAATAGGTAGGTACCCATTATCCATCCTATAGGATCATTAGGATAGCTGAATCTATTCCTTTTAGCAGGTTTCATTGATGATTAGATAATTTGTTTTACTTACAATTTTCTGATTAGAAAATGAATGATGATTAGAAACAATGAATAAAATACTATTTTTTTTTCTGCATGACATGGTTATCAAATAATCAGGATATCAAAGGACATTTTCAATTTGTTAATGTTTCAAAAAAGTCAACTATAGTCTATTGTAGATATTAAATGTTATCAATTATTGTTGCCTATGCTAGTGAGAGGTAACTTGAATCAAACTAAAGAAATTGAATAAAAATTATGTTGATCAAATATGTACATAAATCATGGGCTTCAAGGTTTGAAATGTGCTCCACAATAATTCTTTTGAAGAAGTGACATTGTGACATCTAACCTTGTGTCCTAATTTGCATTTAAAATTCTACAAAAATATTCATATTCCAGACTGTGGTATACAGTGTAGAATTGATTTATAGCTAAAGTAAAGCAGGTTGTGGTTTTGATAACCATGCTGAATCCATTCAAATTTACCTACTTGTAATTATGCTTCATTTTTTTTCTACAGGGCAAATACATTGCTCAGTGTATGGATGAAATTAAGGCAGAGCTCCGACAAGAGAACTTTGCTGTCAAAGCAAACGCTGTGGCTAAGCTTACCTATGTAAGTATGCTATGCTTGTTTGTCAATTATTTATAGCTAAGTTGTTTTAATCCATGATGATATAATTAATTAAATATTGATTCTTTGCAGTGCCAAAACTGTCCTGATATTTTAGGAACTGAATATCTAATTCAGAAATTCAGTGCCATGTGTGTATTGAAATTTGTTTTCCTTAATGCCTAGCAAGAATGAATGACTTATATTTAAAGTACCGTACTGGGTCTGATGTAGGAACTATTATTGTTTGGGTGGACATGAATTTGTATATATTGTACAGATATTTAAAAAATTGTTTTTTCTTGCATATTAGTGTGAAATAATCTCATTGCATGTTTGGAGCTGTATTTTTCAAGTAAAAAAATTAACCTAATATTCTCAATATATTGAACTGTTTTTTTGGCAGTCATTGATATAAGATCATTTCCACTTTCTTAGTAAAATTTATAGATAGATCTAGTGGTAATTGTCAAAATCAATTCCCATTATGTGTGACAAAAGGAAATCACTTTATCTGCAGTAATAAAAAAAAAAAATCAGTTATATTTCTCTGTTGAATGGTGAAACTTTGTTGAAAATTAAGCTGTCTGTACATCTTTTTTCATCAAGTACATTGATTGTAATTAAGTGCTCTAATCAACAAATAAATGTATTATTGAAATCATTTACAGCTGCAAATGCTTGGCTATGACATCAGTTGGGCTGGCTTCAACATTGTTGAGGTGATGAGTTCTTCCAAGTTTACTTACAAGAGAATAGGATACTTGGCTGCTTCCCAGTGCTTCCATCAAGACACAGAGGTGAGCAGTTTGCTGAACATTCTTAACCATTTCTTCCATGACTGAAGTAGATTGTATTCTCTGATGATATTCCTTATATATGATGTGCAAATAAGCTCCTGCCAATTGTAGAGGTTTTATCAGTGGTAAATTGTGTTTCCCTGTAGGTCGTGATGTTCATAACAAATATATATGTTCTGCAGTGATCTTAATGGCCAGAATGAATATTGAATATTATTATTAGAATATTTTCCTTGGTTATCTTTCTTACATTTGAAGTGCAGTAAAGCTCATACCAGTTTTTGATGGTTGATTTATGGTATGTTTTGTATCCCTGCAGGTCGTCATGCTCACAACAAACATGATCCGCAAAGACCTTAATGGCCAGAACATGTATGATGCGGGGACAGCTCTCACTGGCCTCGCCTGCTTCATCAGTGCTGATCTTGCCAGGGACTTGGCTAATGATGTCATGACTTTGGTGATTACTCCTTTGTGTTTACATGTGCTTGCTGCAATTTTTATTAGTTTTTATACATGAATGCTGTAAATTTAACTTATAGGATAAAGCAGCAAAAGGATTGAAAGTTAATTTACTGGTAAAAATCCATCTCAAGAAGCTTTCTAGTGCCATAAAAAATATTAGCTGTATTTCTTGTTTCAAGGTTCATTCATGCTTAGATTTCATGAAATTTTTTTATATTTGTTCATGATTTGTTATGCTAAAACTGATGATAATTTCCACAGCTGAGCTCGACCAAGCCATATCTGCGCAAGAAGGCCGTTCTGTTGCTATATAAAGTCTTCCTGAAGTTCCCCGAGGCTCTCAGACCAGCCTTCCCCAGACTCAAAGAGAAGCTTGAGGACCCTGACCCTGGTGAGTAATGGTGGTTGGCAACACTGAAACAAATACATGTCTATGTTAAATGTAGATATCCAATAGTGAGAGAGTAATGCTGAACAAAAAATCAATATCAGGTTCCATGTACCTACCGAGATCTCCAATAGTGAGAGGGTAATGCTAAAATTTATTTTGTACGGTAGTTGTTATTGGAATAAGGTTAAGTAGTTTTCTTGCATGGTGGTTCCCCCCAGGAAAGTGTTATAAGTCATGTTAGTAACCGTTGCATTAATGCAGATCAAAGATCTGCTTTCAAGCTAATCTTAGGCTGCAAATAGCATTTAAGGTTCCTCATGTGCAAATGAACAATGGTGTTGTTGCTTGGACCATTTATTTATTACGTATAAAAGAGCTTCAGTTTGAGTGAAATTCAACAACAGTTTTTTTTGCCTTATTAAAGTCCCCTGCAGCGCAACAAGAGCCACTGTATATACTGTATATGTAAGCATGAAATGTTCTCTGTCACTCCGGCAGGCGTCCAGTCTGCTGCAGTTAACGTCATCTGTGAGCTGGCACGGAAGAACCCCAAGAATTACCTCTCACTGGCCCCTGTATTCTTCAAGCTTATGACGTCATCAACCAACAACTGGATGCTCATCAAGATCATCAAGCTTGTGAGTGTACCTGACTTTATGTATTTTGGTTTTGCCTAGGTGGCTTTGACTACTTTTTTCATTTCTCCTGTTAATTTTGTGGATTTTTGTTGAGTTCTTCAAACTGCTTCTTTTTGACATTTTATGTCATATTGTTTGGATTAATTAAAAATTATTTTTCTCAGTAAAATGTTTGAATCAAAGCAATCCGTACCTTAAATTTTAATTTTCCATCTATGTGCGAACTCAGCTATCATTTTATATGGATATGGATTTGTTTTCAATTTTCATATTCATGTATGTTAATTATGACATCGTATTTTAGATTTTACCACTGATCAAGCCTTATACTTCTTCCAACACTCATATGTCCGTTTTTTTCTGTGGCAAGAGCATTTGCCTTTAAATTCAACCTTATTTAAGTTAATGATATCTATCGTCTATACGTATATATTGTAGTTTATCTCATCATTGATTGGAATCGTTCTTTCTAACTTGAAAACTTACCCTATTTTGGAATTTAAGTCACACGTCTGGAAGCTAGAGCCTTCATGTTCATAATGTATTCCATCATTGAACTTGAATCAGCGCCGTCTGTTAACTTGAACATTCATGTTCATGTATAAGATATATGTGTAGGGAATTATTTGGAGCTACACATTTCGTGTGTTGCGACGCCGTCGAGCAGTTCGGTGTACTGGCTACGATCGAGCCTGCACTGGGCCCTAAACTGAGCCGTCCGCTCACTGAAATAATTGCCAGGTACTGCAGTAACTATTAATAAAAATAATATACAAGTAGTTGTGCTCGTGGTGAGCATAAATGGCCTATCACGGGGCATACTTAAATATACGAGTAGTTCTGCCGGTATTACTGGTAAATGGCCTATACCTGCTGCTGCCACGGTACAGATCGCTAGAAATTCGATCGCTTCACAATTACTGATAATGCTTCAGCTGAGAGCTGAAAATCTGTAAATGCATCACCTGCTTGAGTAAGCTTGAATGCCCCCCACCTCCCGCCTCCAACAGTTTGGCGCCCTCACACCCCTAGAACCCAGGCTTGGCAAGAAGCTCATCGAACCTCTCACCAACCTCATCCACAGGTATGCTTGGGTTGTGCTTATGTGCTGCGGGTAAGCTGGGAGTTGTTCGTATATGCTAAGTTAATGACGTGCGTATGCAGAATATATTTGTGTGCGAATGCCACAGATAATGCTTGATCCGTCTTTATGCGATGTCATGCGTATGCTAAAGATATATTAATAATGTTTATATGCTGCGCCAGTGAGCTAGTGCCCCTACGTACATTGCATTAGGCGTATCGACGTTATTACGAGTGTAGGAATAGTTTGTCATACATTACGTTATTATCGGTCTTGGCAAAGATTCTAGTCAAAATATGTCCTCTTCCTGAGTTACTGATTAATGTAGAAACTGATTAAAAGTATAAAAAATGTGATCATGCTGAATTGCATTGATAGTTTGAAATGGTGTGCGACTCAGAGCTGTGAGACTAGAACCGTTTTGTATGCTGGAATGACTGATTCCCTGTGACGATGCAGACGCTGTGAGGCTCACGCTGTGATCCTGACGCTGTGATGCAGACGCTGTGAGGCTCACGCTGTGATCCTGACGCTGTGATGCAGACGCTGTGATGCAGACGCTGTGATGCTGACGCTGTGATGCTGACGCTGTGGTGCTGACGCTGTGATGCTGACGCTGTGAGGCTCACGCTGTGATCCTGACGCTGTGATGCAGACGCTGTGATGCTGACGCTGTGATCCTGACGCTGTGATGCAGACGCTGTGATGCTGACGCTGTGATGCTGACGCTGTGGTGCTGACGCTGTGATGCTGACGCTGCCTGTCGTAAATCCCGTGACGAAGTGCGTGGTCACGCGTGTTGCTGACGCTGGTATCGTATTCGTATTTTTATTTATCGTGTTCGTGCAGCACGTCAGCGATGTCGCTGCTCTACGAGTGCATCAACACCGTTATTGCTGGTAAGGCTTGAAAAAATTTAAAACCTTATTCGTGTCGTGTAAGATTAGCGGTTGTGAATAGTTATAGCGTCAACACAATTAATTGCCCAGACAACTGTGAAAATAGTCCTTTTTCGTATTAGCTCTCAAATTCCATGATTGAACTGTTAACATTTTCACCAATATACTGAAATGGAGTTTCATATGCCCCCCGTAAAACTAATTTGATTAATATACTAGAGCCACGCCATGACATTATGGTAAGGGTTAAGTTTAGTATAATAGGTATATATGTGCTTGTCAACTACAATGGCCTTTACATTTTTCTTTATGTTTATGTTCTAAGTTTTACTTTTCAAGTGATCTATAGACAGACATTCATAATTGTTTAAATCTAAACCAATGAAAACAAGTCGCTAACAATTATGTCTTTATATTAGTTATGGATAAAATTCAGCCGAGCAGTCAGGCGAGGACTGATGACAGACAGATGCTTACACGAGAAGGGCGCTCAAGTCAATACAGCGCACATTATTTGTATTCAATGGTTACATATTTAGAATAATAATTCTAATGGTGATGCTAATTGAGATGGAACCATTTGTGTCTTAGACAGTGGTGGGCACAGCTAGCCTAAAAGTTAGCTTCGATAACCGCTAATCCGCTAACTGAAAAGTTAGCTTCGATAACGCTAAACCGATAAATCACCAAAAAATGTAGCGGAATTTGCCGCTAACCGCTAACTTTTAATATATAAATTTAGATTTCGCTTCATTTTTTTTGGGGGGGGGCCTAGAACTCAGAAAAACAGGCCTAGAGAGCTGAACTTTCAGCCTTGAAAAGGAGCTTCCCAAAAAGATGTAGCATGCCAAGATCAGATGATGATCAAGATGTTTGTAACATAAATAATTAAATGAACAAATGAAATTAGGCAGTAGTTGACATTCAACATACAGTTTATTAAACGAATAAGAAATATTAAGGTTACACCAGGGTTACACACTCCTTTTACTCTTCTCAACGAAAAGGTTCATCAACACCTGCTCGCCCAAGAAGGCAACGTCAGTCAATTCCTCCTTCGAGCTGCTTTCCAGCCAGGTCTTCACCAAATTCTGTGCCTTGGACTTCAGTGACCCGTGGCTCCTCCTGCACTCCATGGGCTGAGTAATGCTGCTGAAGAAATCATCTTCCCCATCATCGTCATTGCTGGTGGTGCTGCTGCCCTCCTCAACGGTCTCCCTCAGGGCTGTCTCCACGGCGGTCTCCATGGCCTTCTGTACCCTGCTGAGATGGCTGTGATTATGCTTTTCCAGCCAGAACAGGCGAAACTTAGGGTGGAAGGCCGCTGCCAGCTGGCACTCCTTGTCTTCTAGGAGGGACCCAAATCTTTTCGTGTTGTCTGCCAGCATTGCGTCCACCAGAGGACTGCAGTATAGGTGTGGGCGTGGCACATGGCTTACGATACTTAGCATTAAATCAGAGATTTTTAAACATTTTTAGCGGACTTCCAATTAGCGGAACAATTTAGCGGAAGCTAATTGGTCCGCTAAAGGTTTTCAAAGTTAGCTGAACAGCTAATCCGATAAGGAAAAAGTTAGCTTCGCTAATTAGCGGTTAGCGGATTAGCGGAACTGTGCCCACCACTGGTCTTAGATGTGGGTAACAAACGACGTCATTTTGGACGTCAGCTGTGCCCGATTCTGTAATCAAAATTTTATTTCGAATGCGAATGTATTGGGTTCGCTCCTTAGTCAAATTCTAGCTAGGCGAGTTTTAAGTTCTGTCACAACTCAGATATGCTGACTTAAATCCTGGTTGCGTATACATCTGTCTATTCCGTATGTGGAATAATATATTTCAAGGTTAATTTATTAATTCTGATTCTGACGCTTGCATGTCCAACTTGCTTGCATGTGGTTTGCTCAATATTTTTATTTCTCCTCCTTCCCCTCTGATGCTCACTCTTCTCGTTACCACTTTTTATTTGCGAAATTAATCGTAATTTGTTTTTTCTGTTGCCGGAATTAATTTTTTATACCGTTATATTTCATATTGTGTTGCGCCCATAATAACTATATTGTTTGCTCACAAAATTTAAATGCATCCTTCGATAGACATCTTTATCCTAACAGGGCAGAAATCAGTTTCTGAACAAATATCTTTCATGTTTACGTTTCTTCTTTAGTCCAATTTCTTCGTAGCTGAAGTCTGGCTCCGTACTTGCAACCCTCAACGCCTCAATGATCTTTTCAAATTTGTATCTATGCTAAACTGTTAAAGTTACCTATACATGCATATCTTTTTTCTATCCATTTGAATCTAGGAGCACGTTAGCAAACAGGAATTTATATTTTCGTTTCTCTAATTGCCTTTTCAACTTTAAATACTCAGGATTTTTTTTCTGCTTCTGCGAATTTATTTACTGCCTGGCAGCCTGCTTTCCTCCATAGGTTAATTTTTCTACAACTGCTAGAGAGGCACATAATAATCATCCACAATCCTTAACTGGTTCTAAGTTGCCTGGTGCTTTGCTACCCACAGAGACACAATATGACCTCTAACTATCCTGAACTTTATTCTAATTGGTCTGTGTTATTTTCAACCCCCTTAGGAGGAACATTACGATCTTCCGCAATACTAAACCCTATTCTAAGTGGCCTGTTTTTTTTTTCTATCGAAACGCAAAAGATATTGCGATCTTCCTAAATCCTGAACTCTATTCTAATAAGTCTGCCTTGTGCTTGCATGTACTTTCTTATTGCATCGTCTACTCTTCGTTTCATACCTCTCATTGATCTGCTAGTAACTTGTTCTGCAGCCACATTGTTTCATTTATCGCTATCACATTTTTAGCTAAATAGTATCTTTCTGCAGCTTCTGCTCTTCGTTTTCTGTTTGATCTTTAGCAGTAATTCATACTCTTTGCCTGATTCTTTCCTAAAATATATCCATAACCTTACTGATCTTCTGATTCATTCCTACCTTAGCCTATTCATATGTTTGCATTAATTTTGCACGGACGAAAATCGCCAGCGATTTTATAAAAAATCGGCTGATCTAATTTTCTGGTCATTATGAAAGGCTAATAAAATATAAATTTATACCTATGCTAAATGTCCTAACCTAATCCTCTTGCTTACATTGCGCCTGCAGCCGCTACTTCCATCGAGCTTCCTTTGATAAGTTAGTGAATATTATATGATTTATTATGATGATTTAGATGTGTGATGTTAGGTGTTGGCTGTACTCGTGTACCGCTGGTGTCTCTGACCGTGTGTGTCTTTCTCTCTTGCTCTCCTGCTCTTGCTCACACTCCCCGCCATCACTCACCACAGTGCTCATTTCTATCTCTTCAGGGATGCCCAACCACAATGCCTCTATTCAGGTAAGCGCTGCTCACGTCTCTACTTATTAAGTTAAGTGAAGCTAGATTTTTGTTCCGTGTTCATATTATAGTGTGGCGAATCTCCTTCCCTAGCCCGATTAAACGAACTCCTTGAGTTACTGGTCTTGATGAAGACGAGAAATGTGAAAAAATTTTCACCTTTTTGCGTAATGCAAAAATTAAAAAAATGTTACCAAAACTTACGCTTTCATTTGCGCCACAGAATAGCGAGAAGCCAATAAACTTTTGTTGCTTGGTGGCATTATTTTTGGGAATAAGTTGTATGTATGTTGAGCTTTGATTCAGGGAGTTCATACTGAAACTTTACAATTATTTTATTAGGGGATGAGAAGTTACAATGAAAATTCTTTGATTTTTTAAGTTATAATGACGTTTAATAAATTCCAGGGAGCGTTGATTATACAGTACGGTTCGTGAGGCGCTCAAATTTAAGGGGTGTGCTGGAGCGCTTTTTTTTTTTTTTTGTTAGTGGCTTGATGATATTTTAGTTGCATTTTCAAGGTGAAGCGTGTTGATGTGTTGCAGCTTCTGACGATAAACAAGAATAATTAAGCTTTTATTCATATTTGAATCTATCATGTTTGCGGTTGAGGGTAATTGTGTGCTTAAATTTTGAAACATCCTGAATAAGTACCTTGGTTACTAGTTACTACCATATTCGCGGGTGACATGGATAATCCTGAGCTTATTCCATCGGTGGTTTGTGATTTTGAGCTTGATTTGGTCCGTTCGTGTTTACCCTGTCAGGTAGCCCATAATATTTGATTCATGGAGCTTCTTGAATGCGAGAAATGCTCTTCATGTCCTCAGTTGGCCATAGCGTGGAAAAGTGCATATTTTGAGTTTACGGTGATCGGCCGGTGATACTTTGAGTTTACGGTGAGAATCCAATTAACACGACACTTGTTGCTTAGTGGCCGTCCCCTTACCGGGCACGTGATGGTGAAATTTAGAAATTGATATTATTGAACTCACACGCCTGATGATTACTACTACTGATTCATCTTGATACACATCAATTGTGTCAACAAAATGAATTTCGATGATTGTGTTAATTGCTGATTGATTATTGAAAAATATTCGTTCCGTGGGTTCTATTGAAGGGTTCATTGGCGTTGCTTTTTTCTGCCCAGCCAGTAATGCAATGTTGAACATTTGAAGTTGTGTGTTAGTTCAATAGTTTTTAATGTTTACAATCTTAGGCTTGTTTTTGGATTGTAATATGGTGATTAAATATTAATGCGAGTTCCGGCGATTTGCTCACGTAAATTGTATTGCTTATATTACCCGTGTTATATGGTAGCTTTTTAGTACTGCTTTACATTGACTGAAATATTGCTCTATCTTTGATACATATTTGCATCAAATGAGTATAGCCTCTGATTGCATTGATGCTTGGTGCTGGTGCTTGAGCGCATTTCACGACTGTGATCCCAGTTGACGATTTATGGACTGTTGTGCAGCTCTGCGTCCAGAAGCTGCGCATCCTCATCGAGGACTCCGACCAGAACTGTGAGTCTTGCAATTTATACTTGCATCTCCAAGTAAAGAAATAATCTAGAACCTAATGTTGAATTTCTGAATTAAGGAAGTATTCAAGCGGCTTTTTAGAGTTTTTCGACGTGTACCGAGGGCCGGCAAGTGGCAAGTTTGGACGTCCTGGCTCTTACAGTTATTGTTTAGTGGCGAATATCTTGTATTTTTTCTCAGAATTGACAAAGGTGCATTATTGAGACTTGGAACTTATGTATTGTAGTTGAAAAGCTAAGTACATGCGAATGACAACATAAACAGTGGTTAAGATTGAATTTATTGATAGTAAATGACCACGTTAACAGCGGTTGAGGTCGGTATTGTTAGTAGCTAAGGACAACATTAACCTGAAGATATTTACAGTAAAGTACCTGGGCCTGTTGGCCATGGGCCGCATTTTGGGCCCTCATCCGAAGGCTGTACAGCCTCACAAAGACCTGGTGCTGGCCTGCCTCGACGACAAGGATGAGAGCATCAGGATCAGAGCTCTAGACCTCCTCTACGGCATGGTGAGTTCCCAAGTTTTCTCTCTAAGGCTAATATTAATATTGTTGGGTTTCAGATGAAATTTGTCACAAGTCAATAATACCGTTCAGTTTTGAATTTAATCATACTGGTCCAAGCTATACCAAGCAAAACTTATTGCCATTATGAGCAAAACATGTGAATTTTCTATCACAATAGGTGAGCAAAAAGACAGTGATGGAGATCGTACGGCGCCTGATGACGCACATGGACAGAGCAGAAGGGACCTTTTATCGCGACGAACTCCTACAGAAGATCATCCAGATCTGCTCGCAGAACAACTATCAGTACATCACAAACTTTGAGTGGTTCGTCATTGTCGTTTGCTTACTTTCATACTCTTTAAACTGATTGAAAACTCTCGTCAAAACGTTAAGTTAAATTAACACATTTGTATGTGTTACTCGAGTGAATTGAATCAGTTATATGTAAGACCTTTTATGAATTTAACAAGCATCCCCAATTTCAATTACGGTATCCGGCGTTAATTACTGCATCGTAACTCATTTGTGGTAGTATCTATAGGTAGTACTTTCTTTCCTCTAGATTGTGTTATACTCGTGTTGCTGAAGTCACAGAGGAGATTTTTACGCAAAATTTTCATTCGCATATACATCATCATGGCATTTTCTTTGCTATAAAATTCTTATGTTGAAACCAAGAAAGTTCTTTATGGATACCTCATATGTCGCGTGTGTTGTGTGTAGGTACATCAGCGTGCTGGTGGAGCTGTGTCGCATGGAGAGCAGTCAGCACGGAGCCCTTATAGCCGCCCAGCTGATGGACGTGGCCATCAGGGTGGGGGCGGTGAGAGAGTTCACTGTGGGTCAGATGGCTCTGCTGCTGGAGAACGCCCACCTCCTGCTGGGGCCTGCCGCCGCTAACTCCTCCATCGCTGAGGTGCTCTTTGCCGCCGCCTGGATCTGCGGCGAATTTGCTCAGTGAGTATTGGAGGGCAGGAGGTTGTTCATGGTGAGAAGGCGGATGTTCTTCGCGTTGCACTGCACGCACACCTAATTTTATTGCACTCTCATGTTGAGCTATCTTCATTATTTATAGTGATGTCATCGTATCCTGAGTTATCTTCATCATTTATTGCGATGTGATCTTATCCTGAGTTATCTTCATCATTTATTGTGATGTGATCTTATCCTGAGTTATCTTCATCATTTATTGTGATGTGATCTTATCCTGAGTTATCTTCATCATTTATTGCGATGTGATCTTATCCTGAGCTATCTTCTTTATTTATAGTGATGCGATGGTATCCTGAGTTACACTCCTGTTTTTTTGCACTCAATTGATCTTTTGAAATATTTTTATTACATCTTCTCAAATTATTTTCGCCGCCTTCTTCTAAAATGTATTGATAGTAATTTCTTCATATCAATATCTTAGTTAGTAATTTGTTTCATTTTTTTGTAGACTCTAGATTTTTATGTGTGATGTTCTTAATAATATTTATGACGTTGTGGTCAGCCTGCTACCGAACGCGCGCAACACGCTAGAGGCGATCGTGCGGGGACGGCTGTGGAGCGTCGCTGGCCACATCCAGGCCGTGATCGTCCACAACCTCGTCAAGCTCTTCATCCGCATCGTCGTCACTGCCGAGGAGGAGGACGATGCTGATATGATCAATGAGGTTACCTATACATTAACTTATTGGTCCTCAATAGCCATTAATTGAGAATGTTATTAACAGCTTTAAGTTTATTATTTTCACTCTCGTGCCTGAACTCACACGAATCCTGACCGTTTCCTGGAGTCATTTCCTTTGGAAATCAATTAAAAATATATTTTTTCATGTAAAATACTTCTGCTTGCATTTCGTATTTTGGATAGCTTTGTTCTGAAGCATTGTTTTCAGAGCGTGACTGGTGCTTGATTTTCAACCTTTTATGTAAATGTGCAGTACGTACGAACGCTTACTATTTATCTACTGACCTTTTCATATTTAATTGCATTTTCAGTGAGCATTCCGCGTACAGGAGTCGTGTATGCCAATAACTCGTTGAATTATATTAATGCCATTTTCAGAGAGCATTTCGTGTAGACGAATAATGAGTGCCAACCACTCATTAATCATACTATTATTTCCATTTATGAGTGTACTTAGGTTAGATGAATCATGCATTCCATTGTATGTATGAAATAATGTATGTCATTGTATGTATTGAATAATGCATGTCATTGTATGTATAGAATAATGTATGTCGTGCAGGTAACAGCGCTGCTGGAGGAGCGGCTAGCGACGTGGAGCAGTTCAGCAGACCTGGAGGTGCAGGAGCGCGCGGTGTTCGCCCTGCAGCTCGTCTGCCTCGTCAGGGACAAGCGCGCCGCGGGGCTCAAGCTTGGCCCTGAGCTCGCCCTCCTCACCGCCGGAGAGCTCAATCCCGTCGCGCCCAAAGCTCAGAAAAAAGTTCCTGTACCAGATGGGTGAGTTGACATTCAGTGGAAACCTTTTCTTTGCTTGATTTCTTGTTGGAATTCATCGCGATGGGTCCCGTCGCGCCAAAACCTCAGAATAAAATCCCTGAACCAGATGGGTGAGTTGATATTCGCGGAGAAGACTTTTTAATTTAATTTATCGTTTTGCATATTGTTAATTTACGTCTAGGAATCTCGTTGCGCCCAAAGCTCATATAAAAGTTCCTGTACCAGATGGGTGAGTCAAAATTCAGCAGAAACTCGGTTCTGACTTGAAAATATTCATTTAATTCACATAAAGCATTGTAAATTGGTTTCTCAGTGCCCAACAAATTGCTTAGAATTATATTTATGGTGTTACCATAGCCAAATAAATTCTTGTCTTTTTAATTTTCTAGCTGTTGCCGGTTGACGAATGAATTTTAGTAGCAAAATTTGACCAGAAATTCCGTTTTTATTCTAGTTGTCATTTTCAATCTGGTTAACTGTACTAGTGCACTTCATTTCGTAGCACTTTAACATGTCAATACTCTCAACGTTTGCGGTATTCAGGCCATATACGTATATTGATCTCATTAAATAATTTATTCAGTCTGGACCTGGATGCGTGGATGAACGCCCCGCCCTCTGAGAGTGAAGGCTCAGGCGACGAGGACCTTCTCAGTGGAGGCGACCTCTTCTTCAGGAGTGAGGAGCCTCCGTCGCCCTCCGTGGGCAGGAAGAATAGAAAGGCTCAGCACATTTCTGAGGAGGATATCATGCAGGTTGTTGGCTGCATCCCGTGCATATATTATTATTATTATTGATTGTTACTCACCTGCAGAATATCGATTATTTTGTAGTTTAATCCCCCGCCTCCCGCCCCATCAATAAGTTTTTCTTCTTGAAATTAATTACTTTCTTCCATTATTCTGTTGGGCGAATGTATTTTGAATTGTCATTACAGTTGAATTAAAAAAGTAAGGTAAAATCGGCAAATCTTAGTTATGCGAAATCAAATGTATAATATATAGGTTTAAGCAAAAATATTCAGTTTTGCTTAATATTCTATTCACATATATGCTCTACGTCCAGAGTCTAGACATAGAATCGCAGTTTTACTTTATTGTTTAGTTAAATCGTCATCATAACGCTTGCACCCTTAATGGTTCAAGCTACAAAGTTTTATGAAATTTATGACTTTATAAATTGTTTTCTTTATACCATAAAACTTAGTGCATTTTTCTAATTTTTTCATGAGTTTTTTCTTACTACTTATTTATTATTATTTAATAATTCCATGCTTATTCATTTCATTAATTATTTCATTCATTCGCTTATTTTATCCTTTGGGTTTCAATTCTAAGTTTCAAATAATTTCTCACTATCACGTTGCTACAGCGGCGAGCGGCGCGGTTGCAGGAGCAAGCCAACAACCCCTACTACATGAAGACAACTTCAAACCGCTCCTCGACGCGCTCCTCTCCCAAGACCAGCCTCGCTAACCTCAATGTCGATGAGATCCCCATGCAGGCCATCGAGCTGGACGTGCCTCTCACCATACCTGGTACGGGATCAGTGATACACTATCAAATTTTGTTTAGTACACGTAGCGGCCCAAGTACACGTAGCGGCCCAAGTACACGTAGCGGCCTAAGTACACGTTGCGGTCCAAGTATACGTCGCGGCCTAAGTACACGTTGTGCAATTAGCTGACGGAGTTACGAACTCTTAACTATTTTTTGATAGTACAGCCCCTGTTTTTCATCTAAGATGAGAATAATTAATTATCTGGTCTCAGAGGCGCATGCTATTATTATTCAAATCAGTGTAGGCACAATATCTCTAAACCAACGTACATTTGAACATTAAAAACTACAGTATTGTATTGACCTTCATTCTCTGAAATTATGTGTTCTGCGGAAGTTGATTTTAAGCGACCAAATCCTCTTTAAACAGAGCCAAACGGTGTTAATAGTTTTATACGAATTTACAAGCGTTTGTCATTTTGTAAATGTTCAGGAAGTTATTTATTCGATATAATTTATCCAATTTACAATACATGGAAATTTAATAAATGAAAGATATTGAACGATTATTTTCAATTTTATTTGTTAGTGATTGTCATATCAGCTGACTTCCTGGGCTAATTGTTCACTATCGTTCGAATTTCAGGCATGACTTCCTTATCCAAGTACGAGATGGTGGACGGCGACGGCGACAATAAGAAACTGCGACATAAGAAGTCCAAGAAACGCTCAAAGAGAAAGAACTTGGCTCTCTCTTCTTCAGAGGAAGAGGTGAGTCAGAGCATATATAATAGTCCTCTATAGCGTTAAATTTTATCTATTTGGAAGCATCTTGTAAATTTTCATCGTGACACCAACTCGACCAAAGGAAGAGGTGAGACTGAGACTAATAGGCCTCCACAACGTAGTTACAATTTACGTTGTGGGGCCTATTAGTCTTCCACAATATTCATTGATACAGCAACTTTGAACACGATCAGAAACTTACTTCGTTTCATTATAACGAATTTTTCATTGATCTTTGATGTTGTCAGTGAACGTTCGCACCGCCTGCAGTAATTAGATACCTCTAGTCGAACAAAGCAAACCAGTCAACTATATTTGCTACTTCTCAATGTAGGGGGCCATATTTCTTTTTTTTAATCCTAAAATGCACCGGGTATTATGAATTATACAAACCAAATTGGCTATTTTTTCTCTAAATGTCAAGGTAATCAGGCTACTTGCCTGCAACGCTCCTTGTATCAAGTATGATAGATTGCAAGTCAAATGAGAACGAAACGTGTTACATGGGTGATGTGTGTCGCGGTAAACATGAGTAACAAGGCCTGATTTCTACATTACATGCGTGCATTTAAGGATTATGATTTAATCGCATTTGCTGAATGGTAATGGGATAACATAGCACCCATTTTCGCAGTTATTAGAAGTTTTGTGTGAGGTCGTCTAATTGTGAGAAGACATTTCTTGGCGAAATCGTGTACTAAATTTAGAAATATTTACTAAAAATTCGTGTTTGCTTCACAAAACTGAAATGTTTGACAGTCAATTCGAGTAGAAGGAGACAGTCAATTCGGGCATTGATTCAGTTGTGCTCCTCTTCAATGGTGTTAACTTTACACGCATTTTTAGTACAAACAAATCTTAATTGTTTTCAATAACTCAAAAAAATTTTTCTGCTTCTCACATCACGGAATGACGTCACGTAACGGAATTATTTCGATATTAATTTCCGCTATCAATGTTTCGTGTTCAGAAGTAGGATTGTAAAATTTGTCCGTCTGCAACGTTAACCTACCTCAATTTTGGACGTACAATTGTCCTAATTTCTTCGATCCATCGACAATCCTCCAAGAGAGAAACAGTTTGAGAAGAACTTGTTTACTTGAAATCGTTCATTAATCAGTTCGCAGCCAGACCTTTACCAACGAAGAAATAAATCCCAACTATTATCCATCCTCTTCCCAACCTCAGTGACATGTCAATTCTCACATTTATTTGGGTTATTAACTGCTCACACTAGATCCCTGTGCTCAACAGCGTTAACATCGCATTGCTACGTTACAGGAGGCTCCTGCGCCCCTGGTGATCAACACGGACGCCGAGATGCCGGAGGGCGCGATTGTCTCCGACGATGATGACAGGGACAACAGGCCGCTTGACGACCCTCACAGAGCTCTTGACATTGATCTTGATAGGTGATTGATTACGATTGGAATTTTATCGCTCCGTTGCGTATTTACTATTTTAAACTGTTGGTCATCCCTCTGCCGCAGTTCAATGTTGCATTTTTGTTTGCTGAATTGTTGCATTGACTCTCGACAATTTACTCCTCATGCATGTGTCCAACTCCATTAAATTTGACATAGCCTGTTAGGCGAACAGAAGTACTTCCTTCTGCTCAAGTTTCACCATGATAATCTGACATATTAATTCAACATAGTTTGTTTTTCCGCAGCCCACTTAGCCCGACGGAAGTCTTGCCGGTGCTGCACCACCGCGAAGCTCCTGCAGCGCCGAAGCTGAAGCGCTCATCTAAACCTGCCTCTTCTACTGTAGATGCTGCTAAATCCAAGACCAAGAAAGATAAATCTAGAAAGTCCAAGAAGAAAGAAAAAAATGGGGACTTGTTAGGATCCGAACAGAAGGAAATGGCCTTGGATATTGGAGCGTCAGTGACTGATAGCAAACCAAAACCCTACGCCAACGGAGTAGATGGAAAGGTATATAATCTTGAAAAAACCGGCATTTTTCATCATGCAATAATTCTTTGTTTTGTTTTGAGTATCTAATGTTATTATTGTGAATAACTTGTTTCTGCATGGCTAAGTCGACTTTTGCATATCATATGCACTCTTTGTGGACACAAATGGAGTGCGTATGTCCAGCGTATTTTTGTAAGATACCTTTTGAACAGATTCCCCTCCCCATCCATGTATCAATTTAGTGATAAGTGTTTGAACTGGGAAAGTCATAAATATCCCTTTATTATCACGTATATTCTTGTTTGCAGAAGACACATGATGACATCGAGTTTTGGCTGAGCACCAGTGACCCCGTGGAGCAGCCTCCTGAAGCCGAGCCCGAAAACGCTCCAGCCGCAGCCGACGCTACGCAGAAGGTGGACCTGTTGTATTGAGGCTTTACTATCAAAAATAGTTGAGATATCTTAACACCCTCCACTAATCATTGAGGACTTTTTAAGGTGAATCCAGGCATGAAACCAGCCGCTACACAAACCTAAGACTACCAAATTTTCAACTTGAAAAAAGTAGCATTGCAAATTTTCGCACATAATCATTCATTATTTTTGTGGCTTCATTTGTTAATTTTTACTACCCAGGAGTCAGGCTAACTGCCAAATATTCCACAGTTATTCTGGTGAAATGAAGTGAAGAATAAAAAATCTTCGCTTTATTTATTTGATGACATCTTCATGACAATATTTTCGGAGATTGAATGCCTTTATTTTTTTTTAATTATATACTTTGAATTAATTTAGTTTAGATCTGATTGAACAGAATATAATGCAAGTTTTTTAATTTGAGAACTCTTCGTGTTTTCCTCTCTAGTCAAAAGCCACAAAGAAGAGTTCCAAGGAGCCCAAGAAAGAGAAAAAGTCAAAGGAAACGAGTAAGAAAGTCTCAAAGAAAAGCAGCAGGAAAAGTGAATTGAATTTACCGCTAGTGGATGGAGCCCCAAGTTCTGATCTTAGAACCCCCGAGGGAGTTGACCGCCGTGACTACGAGGTCGCTAACGGCCACCACGCCTCCAACGCCACACCTGACCGGCACAAGCTGCTTGCTGAGGATTCCGCTGTTGCTGTGGTGTGTTGAATCTTCGAAAAATGCATGATTAAAATTCACGTCTATTCCAATAACTTTACTTGGTTTTCGTTTGCGTGGTTTCAACTTGATTAATTTTTCTATTTGGCGATATACTCAGACGTTTCTATGCTATGAAAACAAATTATCTTTAAAGGAAATTTCGATTTGATTTAAAAATTCATAGTTTTTTTGGCCGGGTGTGTGCCTGTAGCTTTGTGCATCATATTTTCCTCGCAGTAAAATTGTCGATTGCATAGACGAATTTTTGAGACTTGGCAGGCTATTTCGATTTTGGGTTTTCATCGTTCAGTTATCAAAATTAGACAAATTACGTCGAAATTCTCTGTTTCTCCACATCACTTGTTTATATAGAGACCTCATTTCGCTCACACATTAGGCTTCAGAGAACTTGAAGTTATTGTTGTCTGTTAAGTACCATGGTCGTGAAAGTCTCCTTTTAATTTATTTGATTCTCTTAAATTACAAAGTATTCCTGAGCGTTACTCAAAGTATTCAATCTTCCGATCACTGTACGCATTATAAAGCCTTTTTAACCAGCAACGTTCCTTAATTCTTCCAGAGTTGGAGAGCTCGTCCTGCAGCTGACGGTCTCAAACAAATTAGGTTGAGTCTATCCTTCAGCGTCAGCAGTCAATTATCGGACTCGATGACTGACATCAGACTCGTGAGACTACACTTGCCTGACACTAGCAGTCTGGCGCTGACGCGAGTCAATGCTACGTCGTCTGATATAGACCTTGAGAGAGCGCTATTGTCACCTGGCGCTCCTGTGAAGAAAGCCTTGACAGTCGAAGTGCAAGATGCTACAGTACCGCACAAGCTAAGAGGAGCTCTCTACTACTCGTTGGTGAGACCTCAAAATAGTTATTAATCCAATACAGCTGCAATGTAAAGGCAATAGTGGTATCTCTTTGGCACCAATTTCTACGCATTTACATACCTGGAATTTCGTTATTCATACAACTGCAACATGATTGTAGGAATAGTATCTCTGTATAATCATTCGTTGTTACCTATTATATTTAATGAATGTGTTACTGCAATATTAAGTGAATTAAGCGCGAACAATGGGCTTAACATTGGAATGCTGTTCAAAGCTGCTGATCTTCTAGTTAATTTTCAATCCAAATAGCTGCTAATTTGCCCGTACTAGATATATTTCAATGATGTTCTCAGAAATTTGCTTGCAATGTCCGGGGTTATTTGATAGCTGATGAAATATTGGCATCATACAGAACGGAGGCAGTGAGCGAGTGCTGCCCTTGAAGTTCGAAGTGTCAGTACTTTGCTGCCTGAGCGGAGCAGGAGCATCAAGAGAGGCCTTCTCTGAATTGGTGTCTTCCGGAGCCCTGACGGCAAGATCAGCGTTCACTACATCATGTCCAGATATCTCTTTCGAACAAGTTAGTTCTGACAGACTTACGGTCAGCGTTGAAAATAGAGTAGTTTATTAGTGTTCTACTCGGTGATAGGCACTTAGTGTGATAGCTCAAACAGCACGACTGATGTGAACTGTCTGAAAACGGTAATCGGAACATTCCGTAGTATTGCGAACAGACGAGATCTACCTTACCAAATTTTTTATCTGAAGCCGATTGTTTCAAAGCAGTTGAGTCTCTATGTCTAACAGACGTACCGCAGTTCTATCTGTGCCACTATTTTCAAAATGATGATTATCATAGTTAAATACTGCCATGTCATACATCTTCCAATTGCGTCTATGACGATTCTGAAAGTATAAATTGCTTTGAATTATCGTTGAATCTTTGGTGTTCAGTTTCTGCGAGTGACAGGTTGCATCATCCTAATCATATAATCATTACATTAATAATAACTAGCATGGTGGTTAGCTGCTGTGATAATAATAATAATGACCTAATGGCTACTGTGAATACTCACTGATCGTCTGGTGCACAGCTGCTGCGAGTGCTGTGCGGGGACGGCAGCTTTGGTGTGGTGGAGCGCGTACAGAACACCGCCTCACTCTACGCTGCCTCGCTGTCAGGCCACCACGTGTGCCTTCTCACCAAACTTAAGGTGCATTAATTTACGCTGCTTGCTTTTATAGTGGCAATATTACCTAACCCTCTATTGGGCGTTACAATTATATTTTCTCGTTTTATAGTCCTATTTGTATTGTAAGTTAACCTGGCTTGGTACGACTGACATCTATTAATTAGAAGTTCCGTAAATGCTCCATCATAGATCCAGCTATGGATCATTGATGGACATGCTCCAGCTATGCGCCCAATCCAAAGGAATCAGCGAACCAATAAAACTTGCCACACACACTGATTTTAGACCGACAGTACTCTGAAACTCGTTAATAACATTTATTTTGTACAGACTTTTCTTGCAATAACCGTGCATGTAAGTGTCATGCATGAGAACAACCATGTCACTGTCCTACAGGACAGCGGCGGCGTGTGTGTGGACGGCAAGGCGAGTGACGGCACGCTGCTGGCCAACGCCCTGGACGTGCTGAGAGCGGCCCTCACCGCCGCGCCATAGCCGCGCGCCCGGCCGCTCCCGGCGCACCTCGCATCGCCTCTATTATCCGCCTACGTATGTTGTATAACGTTTAGTTATTCGCCTACGCACGTTATCCATTTAATTTGTTATTCCCTCTCGTATTTTATGTACTGTAGGTATTTGTTATTTATCTCCTTATGTTGTCTACTTAACTAATTCGCCTCTGTTTATTATATTTCATTTTTGTTGTGCCGTGCGCCACACTTTATTTTATTTTATTTGGCTCGTGTTTAACTACACTAGTCGTTCTATATGAAAGATCTTATATTATTTTCTCTAGATTACAAGTCTATGTACATGGTAATGGGTAGTAAGATTAAGCTCTAAATTAACCAAATAGTTTGAAAGCGTTCGAAAATGAATGTATTACAAATAGTTCATTTCAGATGATACATTTGATGAATATACACTGAATGGCTGAATAAAGTTTTAAACTTGAATTCAACCGGATGCGTATGTGAAAATTTCGCTCGCATGATTTACTATTTCCTCTTATTGTCTGTTAGAGTGTTAGTGTCATATTCTATCTAAATTACCAATTTACAGCCATAGATACTTGTTAATTTATACCTGTCCGTATTATCACTTTGTGATTCTTCATCATCTCTTGTTTATGATGCCAAACTTATTCTACTTATGACAAAAAGTCAAATATTCACCTAGGACCTTCTTGTGTATTTCGGTTTGACTTATACTTTGGCTGTTTTTTGTGCCAAAATTTTTTTTTTTGTGCTTACCTAAATTTCTGTCTTGATTTAATATTGCCCAAAGGTTCGTGGATATATTTTAGACCAATAGAGAATCAAACAGTGTGAGATCCCTTTGTAGCCAAAATCAAATTTTTCTCGAACATTCAGAGATAACTTGAAATATAAAGTGTTGCAGAGTGACTTATTATTCTAATGTTTCTTCTGAGTGACTTCTTAGTTTTCTTCTGAGCTTCTGAGTGACTAATTCTAATTGTTTTATTTCTCCCGTCCCGTACAGCAATGCGCGAGACTGCGTAGGTGTGACGGATCTCGCTGTGTTGGGACCACCAGCTCTACGCGTCTCGCTAAAATAAAACATTGTAAATACTTAAGAACTTGAAGCGAAATGGTAATCTGAAGCTTTCCTTAAGATATTTCTCGAGATATAACCTCATGAGGTTCTGGGGTAGATTTAATCCCAATGTGTTCCGTATTTATGCCACTCGCGCTATGCAGGCAAGGTACGCATGGTAAATGTAGAAATTTTGGTATAAATTAATAGATTATTTCCATGCGAAAACTACAATACAATATCTCGCTTGTCTCGTTGCTCGTATGTGATGGATGGCGCCTAACACCTCGGGCACGCCACCGTATACTCTGTATTTATATCGCTCTTGTTACATTCTAGGCACATTAATATTTGTCTGAAGAGTGTATTTTTAAACAGAAATATAGTCTTGAATTTCTTTACATATGATATATTTAGCATGTTAAATAGCCGGTAACTAAATGCTTTGAGGGTGCTCTCATTTAGCCTCTGAGTTGCAATGCTTTATCGTGCACTTGAAATTCCTTAGTTTCCATTCCTTATCTCTTTATGTGTGTTCAGTCTTGAATAAATTCTATTTATTATGTTTTTTACTTAATACTAAGAGTTTGACTTATTTTGTATTGTATAAGCGCCGAGTTTAATCACTCTGACACATTCTAATTTGTACGCTACGTTTCCTTCTAATTTCGTCGCATGTCTGGATTTTTCAAGGTGTGGTTGTTGCCTGTACTTAACAACCCTCACGTTATCTTTGTTAAGAATATAAAAAATTATCCCTGAATTTAAGGCTGTAAACGATATATAATTACTAAATATATAACGACCTCTTCCCTCCCTTTCAATTATGCAGCTGTAATGATTTTGTTCATTGGTTAAGATGTGCTTTTTACCTCTTTCAAAATTTCGAGCATTGTATGCTAGGGAATTCCGAACGTTTAATTATGACTAATGAAACTTCTTGAAGTCACTTACATATCGGCTTGTCATCATATTATGAATAGAAACTACTTTACTCGATTGTGAGCCTTACTAGCACTTCATAAGCTGAACAAAATTTTTGACTGCTATAACAGACCGCAGCTCCAGCATACTGGTGTCGGCTTATATACGTTGTTATAATTTAGATAACGGGTATGGGTCTATGTAATCACCTGAGTACTTTATGAGGTGCATTCTCCTCTATGTGAATACTGCTTTGCAGACATAGAGTGCCACGTTGCTCTTGCTTGCGAGTTGCTGCAGTGCCTTTGTCTGGCATTCATGGTGCCACCGTCGAACTCACTTTGAGTATCATGTTCCGCCTATTATTTACAGAATTTTTCTTGCTATAATTTACAAAATACTTACGTGTATGCGCGAAAAAATTGCATTGTGCCAGCACCATGTAGGTTTGACTACGAATGTTTATAGAATTTATTTTTGAAGTGGAATAATTTGTGATAATTTGATGTATGTTGAGGATTTTACACTACTGAAGCATTTGTTGTCGGCGCATCTGGTCTTTATAATTTATCGTTTTTCTATTGTTTTTATTTCTCTTGAAATTAAATTTGTATGTTACATCTATTGTCTTATGCTGCAGTTCTGCGTTTTCAGGGCATCTCTCATAACGCGGAATGTAATTGCGTTCTTCTCGGTCGCTGATTCTTTATCATTATTTAGTGATTCTTCTACGGTTTCTTTTACCCTTGCCTTTCATCCCGGACTCGTGTCTTTTTAACCACTTAGATTTGTCTCATTATTTACGGCACTCGATATAATTCCATGTAATAATGCCTAGTATTTTTATACAAAACCTTATATGAGCGAGAACTTATCTCTCACTCATGGCATCAGCATGCCCAAAATAATATATCATTTTTTGTCTTTGATTCAGACACGTTTGCAGATTATGGTTACCTGAAAATGTGAAAATTTAAGCTGTTTTGGTGTAACGAGAAATATTTCCTTCATGTTCAGCTTGAAGCCTCGCATCCAGAGTTGTTATATTTTCTAGAAATCTTAACTTATTTCTTTGACCTTGTTTCTGCATTGCATATTATTAGGTTGATTTAAATTATCTCTTATTTATCGTCTGATAAGATACTTTTGCGTATCTTCTAGCTGGCAGGGCATGAGACGAGCTATTAAAATAACTTGTGTTCTGTGCAGGAGTTTTTCCAATGGGTATCAGATTTCATTTGATTTATTTTACTTATGAAAGAAACATATATAATTGTATTGGAATTTCCCTCCCTTTCTACCTCAGTAGTTCTCATGTTCCTTGAGCGTGATTGTGTCAACGTTTGGGATGTGAATAAAAGCGTAAAACTTGTCAGGCATTGGCTGAGTGAGGTTACTGTTCAGTCACACCGCCCAACCTTCCAGCACAATTTTTTTTTTTTTGTTACAGGATGAAACTGAATTTTTGGAATTTATTTCGAATTATAATAGTTTGAACTGGTTTCCTTGTAATTTTTCGTATTAGTTTAGCATTACTTAAGTGAAATTAATTTTTATTTTCGCCTGGAATTGTACTGATGAGAAAATTCTTCCAACTCTGAATATCATTGGCGTGTGTATTTTGAAAATTCTTTCAACATACCACTGCTTTCTCCCAAAAGCCCCGTGTTCACTCGATATGTCGCCTCCAAATAAAGCTTTATTTTATTATTTCTTATGCGTGTGCTTATCAAATATTTGCCTGTTCTATATGGTTTGAAGTAAGGCTGATATTTTAGCCAATAGTCCATTTTAGTTAACTAAATTGTTCAAATGTTATCTTTGTAGTGTTCTGACTATAAATTACGAACTGTAATCCATTGCTAACTCATTCAAACCGTCACTTAGGTTTCCCCGATATGAGAATTATTAATTATCAGTGGTAAGATACGTATATATTCTATTTCTTGATATCCCTTTCAAGAAATCGGCCACCAATATTCAGTATTCTTTATGTAGATTGTTTACATAAAAATATAATTCAGCGCTGCTTGAGGTCTACTAATCGGGGCTTATACGTTTTGCTTAGTTTCCATGTTCTTCAGTATTTACCTACTGTCGCGTGTGTGGGTTAAATGCTTAGAAGAGGCCTCTAGAGATCTGATAAGAAGTATTTTCCGTTTTGTTCATAGACAATGTTCTACCTGTAAACTCTATTCGTGTCTGGTATTTTAGTACATTTTGTTTCTGTAGTGCCACTTTTCTGAGCCTAGGTTTGGTTTTTTTGTTTAAGAATTTTTCGTGAGAATTTTGTTTCAACATTTTCTTCGTGAGCTTATAAATTTTACTTCTCTCTTCCTCAGTCTTCGCGCATACTTAATAGTGCTGATCTGGCTCGCCACTACATGGCTTTTGCGTTTCCAGTTGATCAACTACAGCGCATGTTTTATCTAACTTAATTCTTATTTGTGAGGTGAAGCTGTTGTGATAGTGAGTTTCCTTGCATTCTCCTTCTGTTCTTCCCATATGACAATTGATGGAAGCAACCTTCTTTATGAATGTCGTCGTTTTTGTTGCTACTCACCTACTTAAATTCCTTTTTAAAACATCCAACTCAACTTTTAAACAACTTCATTCACTCGCTTACCGTTAGAGATCCTCCGTTTTTAAACGAGAACTTCTCTTCATTTACTATCGACCGTGTCTGTCAATATCGCTGTGCGACCCTGAGTACATTTGTTTGGGTAACATGGCCTGCCACTGCAGCATTTACCTTTGTTTTTCGCCGAGACCACAGCCCGTACAGGCAAGTTTGACTTTCGCAGAGCTTTGAATTTGAGTTTCTTGTATTCATTTATTTTAATGCTGCGCTCAGTCCAGAATTTAAATGTACTGTAGCCAGGTTTATGTTTTGTGTCTCTGTTGGCACTTAAACTGTGAATACCATATGTGTGTTTTTCTCCCTATTTACATGCTTGTTGAAACAATTATCTTAACATAACATAGTGATGTCGGCGCTGAAGCGTAGGCCTGATGTGGCCTGTCGCCGATTCTTTTCCCTTTCGTGCCTTGTTCACAGAAGATCTAAAATCGTGTCATTTGACCGGATCTTTTCATGACTGACGATAGTTTGAAGTAGCTACTAGACTTCCACCGGGTTCGATAAGGAGCTAGGCATTTCAAATCTGAACATATATTCTTGACTACGCTCGAAAATGTTTTTCCTCTAGTAGGAGCTAGGAAGTAGAAGGCAATAACTATGTGAATTGTTTGAGGAATGTAAAAGCTGCTTGTGATAACTGTTCCGACAGCTGCTTGTGGTCAGTGGTTCTTCGACACAGAAAAAAAAGGTTCGTTTTTTTTTTCACGTACGCTAGCACTGACAAAATCGAATCATCATAATATATGAAGTTTAGGTACTAATAGGTAGAGATCTTAAAAGTCCTACTGCAAGCTCAATTAACTGATATGGAAGCATGCTGTCTTCGGATGATTTTTTCCATCGTTCAATGTTTTCTGTTATTCGATACTGGATGCCCAATTTGCCTATGCTATGGTATCGATACCGGACCGGCGTTACTTCAGACCGCTCCCCAGAGGCTACACTTGCACCGTGATATTTAAGGGGACCGGCTACCCTAAAATTTTCAATTATGGCGTTTTTCGGTTTTTGTGCTCATCTGAAAGCTGGAATTCTGCTCTTTCCAATGGTACCTTTGCCATCGCTGTACGCCAATATTTACTTTCATGACGTCTCTTTAAAGGGAAGCGGGTGGGAGAGTTCTTTAAGTAATTAGATATAAAGTAATTAGCTACTGAAATCTTTGAATATAGTTTCTACTTGAGTTGTGCTGCAGTTACATGCTTAGTCTCATCTTAAAGCTGACATTCTGAGCTTTCCAACGATACTACTGCGATCCATGTACGGCAATATTGACGCACATGGCCGGGCTTTAATGGGGGGCGGGGGTGGAGTTCCTTAACTAAATAGACCTAAGAAAATTACAGCGGCAAGACTACATATCTTGGTGTATCTGGCATCTGAGCTCAGTTACCCTCCTAACATTGTACGTAGAGGTGCGCTACAAGTTGCTGCTAGCATCCTTGAGTGGATTAAGCTACAGAAGTCAGTGTTTGGTATCCATGCTACATTGAGTGCCTATTTCGAGGCGCACAGGACTTTGTCGCGCCGTCCTGAAAAGTTTGAAAAGTTCAACTTATTGTCACGGAAAACCTATCTCCTCCTACAGTTTTCAAGCTACAGCAATGAGAGTTATATCATTCGATTCGTAAAGACCATATCTATCGACCTAGCCATCGCTTTTTTTGAATTTGTGCATGGTTCTTCTTATATATGGGGGAGAAGGGGGGGAGGGGGTGAAAAAAGTGAAAAAAATGGGAAAAATGCGCATAAAAAAAACTATGGGGAAAATGAAAAAAAGGGATGGCAGAGTTGATAGGTATGGTCTTTACGAATCTAATGATATGTGTCTCGATATTTTAAGACGATATTTGTGGGAGGAGATAGATTTTCTATAGTACCCGTTATTTGTTCGTTTTCTATGAATATCACGTTTTCTATCAATTTTTTCGAAAAATTCATAGAAGTAAAATGTTATTATTTTTACATTTTACGTATGAATGTGAAGTTTCATGATGATCGGATAATAACTGTAGGAGTTATAGGCTACCTCGGTTTTAGGGTAGCCGGTCCCCTTAAGTTGTTGGTGTACGCGGTTCCGATTGTGATTGCTACGTGAAAAATTGTGCCAACTAACCAGAGAAAAACCTTCCAGCCTTTCCGGTGAAAAGTGAGCGCCATGAAACTGAAGCTGCTTGTGCTTCTCGAAAATAGAGAAAAAAATAAAAAGTAATTAGCTAACTGATGGCATTTAAGTTGAGATTTAAAGCAATATCTTTTGTATGATCATGCTGGTATGCATGATTCGAATTTCAAAGCACATTTTTAAGTCATTGAACTTGATTGAAGGCCCAAGAAATATTAAGATTTTATTTTGCCGCATGTGGCATGGATATCAATGCTGTTGCCCAGTGCCCACTTGCCTGCAGCCTGTGTTAACATTGAGAAATTTCAAAGTATCTCATTCATCAATCATCATTTCTTCTATGTTCTACCTATGCCAAAATAACCTGTTTCTCAAATATTTCTATGCTATGCAATATTTTAGACCATACATTGAAGTGAGGGAACGGTATTATTGCAGATTAACTACATCCAAAAAAAAGGGTGTTTTTTTTTTTAATTATATGTTTTTTGGGGTGTAGATTACGAATCTGAAATCCATTTTTGGCGGTCGGCATCGGAAAACCGATTTTTTTCGCGACTTACTAACATGGGGGTTACGTAACTTACATTACCCACTCACCTTTATTTACTAACATGGGGGTTACGTAACTTACGTTACCCAGTACCCACTCACCTTTATATAAAGGGTCGGATTGTTCATCGAAATTTTACAAAAAGCTCTTAGGTTGGGTTAAGTCAGCCAAGTTCCTTTTTTTAGATAGCATTTTGATCTAAAAGGAACCTGGGCGAACCAACCCAACCTGCGAGTTGTTCAGATTCGTAATCTACACCCCAAAAAACATATAATTAAAAAAAAAACACCCTTTTTTTTGGATGTAGTTAATCTGCAATAATACCTTAAGAGGGAACTTCAGTCAAAGTCCAGCGGCCCAGGGGAACTCCCCAGTTGCCAGCATACCTATTGTTTGGTTACTTTGGTACCTATTAGGCTATTCATTACTTAGCCACATAGTGGCAAGGCAGAGAGTTTTTTTTAGACTTTCCCTCAAGTTCATTTTTGAGTCATATAAGTAGACCAGTAAAGTATCATGGATACCAGCATCATCATACATAAGAAATTGGTTTAAATCTTGAATAAATGAGGAAATTAATAATGAACTGATTCTAAAAAATCTCTGGTTTGCCACTACCGTCAACCGGGGCTACTCGGGACAGGCCTCCGACACGTCGTTAAACTGTTGTAGTAGCGAAACTAATTGGAATATTGCAAAACTAAAAATAGTGGCGTAAACGTCAACATTTTTCCTATCTATGTAGTATAAAGCGTGCTGTCCGTCGCGCGAGCAGACGTAGCGATCCTGCTGCTGGAGCTGAAGCGACGTCCAACTGGCGGGATGCGCGGCGCGCCTATGTCAACCTTCTTAGATCCAAGAGGGAGTCATTCTGGCGTCTAAGAGTTGACGCACAGCGCGGCGACCCTCGGGCGATGTGGCGTTCGCTGGATAGGCTCATGGGGAGGGGTCGTTCGGATGCCTCGGGCGACGTGAGCGTGGAAGGATTCCATGAGTTCTTTGAAAACAAAACTTCAGCTGTGCGCGCGTCGTCGGCCGATGCTCCCGCTGCAACCTTTACGCCGTGCCCCTACAACTGTGTGCTACGCGAGTTCACCTGCGTCACAGCGGATGAGGTCACCACTGCGGTGCGCGCGCTGCCTAACAAGCAGTGCGCTAGTGACCTGTTGCCGTCGCATCTACTTAGGGAGAATGTTGCCAGCCTAGCACCTTTTATGGTTGAACTGTTCAACCGCTCCCTCTCTGACGGCGTTGTCCCTGAGAACTTCAAATCCGCTTACATCACGCCGCTTCTCAAAAAGCCGGACCTCGACGCCTCAGACCCAAATTCGTATCGACCCATCTCCAACCTGTCGATTTTATCGAAACTCCTCGAGCGCGTTGTGGCCCGGCAGCTAAATGACTACCTTCATAAATCAGGTCTCATGCCTCGCCTCCAGTCTGCATACCGTCGTCACCACTCGACGGAGACCGCCATNCCTCACGTCTGTCCACCGTCGGCGACAGAGCGTTCCCGGTCGCTGCGGCCAGAACATGGAATGGTCTGCCAGCATCGGTGACATCTGCTTCTTCGCTGACGTTGTTTCGTCGACGCCTAAAAACAGAACTTTTCCGTAGAGCCTTTGAATCTTAGGCCTAGCCGTTATCTAATTTATCATGGATATTACTGGTTTAGCATAGGTGTTATTTATTCTAGTATAGACGTCATCAGTCTTGGCATATGTCCTCTGTTTTAGCATAGATGTCATCTGTTTTTATTATCTTGTGTTTTTTAGCCGCTTGTAACGTGCCCTCGAAGTTCGATCTGAACGAGACGCCACGACAATCTCTTCGTGGAATAATAATAATAATAATAATATAAAGGAAGTCGAAAAATACTACATTTACTTGCTTTGAAAAATTCCTGAAAAAAATGGTGAAAAACTATATTATGTAAAGTTACAACTGCTAAGGTATGTAGCAAAAAAAATATTCGCCGTATTAAAAAAAATTTTACTTACATAAAAGTTGCACCCAGGTGTCGGCTTGAAAATGTAGTTAACAGAATTTGCCTATCTCATTCCAAAAAGAAATGGCAGCCATTTCCGCATGGCGGGGCTACTCGGGACACCCCCTGGGGCTATTAGGGACACCCCCAAAAACGCATTTACGGTAGAACCTCAGTTAGCAAAGGCTCCAGTTAAGAACAAATTGATTAAAAACAAAGAATATTGATTACATATTTACATTTACCTCGCTGAGCAAAAAAAAGTTCACTTATCATCACACAAATTACAAGCCGTCCTGTATGCTTACAGATACAGAAAAAAAATGCTATAAGGCTGCTGATATGAAGCTTGCAGTGAACAAGTTTGTTGTAAATGCTCAATGGCATGTTCATGGATATGGTAATATCCTATCAATAATAGGGTACCATCAACTGGGGGATTCAGCTGTGTTCATAATGATGGCCAAAGCAGGGTCATAAATGGTCATAAACAATGGCCAAAGTCACTCCAGCGTTTATGACCTGGTTTACAACCCTGGCGTTTATGACCCCAGCGTTTACACCTTTACACCACCTTTACCACCCCAGCATGGATCAAAAACTAGGCTGAAGTCACCCCAGTTGACAGTAATTAATGTTTATGGTATTATATCAATAAAGGAAAAACAAGTTAAATCACAGAAAATGTCATTTATTCTACCTCTACATGGTCTACAATGAAAGAGGAGGACTTCAGAGTACTTTTAATAATGGATGAGTATGCTCTGCATGCTTCAAATGTTTTGAAATGAAGTTTTATTCCCATTGTCCCGAGTAGCCCCGACCGACAGGGCTACTTGGGACAATCCCTATTTTGCGTCTGGCACCTTAGGAATAGCATATGGAATTTTTTTGACAATGCCATTCGATAGCCCTGGCAAAGAGCTATAAAATGAGCCTAAATTTGTTTATGAAATGTTTCATCATAATAAGTTATTAACAGTTATTAACAAAAAAATGATCAAATCTGTCCCAAGTAGCCCCGGTTGACGGTATGCTTAGCCATGAGTTGTGTTTAAAATCTTGTGTATACCTACATAGGAAAAATCTTCAGGGAGTAATGCGTTAACATGTTGAGTGCGGGACGACCCACGGGTGGGTGGCAGGGTCTTTTTTCCAGATAAATTCTGCGATTTAGTTTTTTTTTCTATTGCGTTTGTCAACAAAAGTTTATGATGACAGCACTGCCTCTTTAAAATATACGAAAAAAGGAAAATTAAATTTTTGCACCTGAGCCTACAAATTTACTAGTATATTTTGAATTATAGGCCTTTTTAGCAGTGGACTTGGCCGTTTTTAGGCCAGCTGCCAGCGCTGTGGGTCATTGCCGCACTTGGGCCTAACGTGTTAATGTTCAAACTCATAAGGACCACAGTGACAAGCCACACTTAGATAGCTACCACAGATTTTTAGAATCAGTTCATTTTTAATTTCCTCATCAACTTGAGATATAAATCAAATTTTAATGCATGATAATGCTGGTATGAGTGGTATCTATGATACTCTACTGGTCTTCTTAAGTTTTTATTGGACTGAGTGAAAATGGACTCCAAAATGAACTTGAGATTTGAGAAATAGTCTACAAAAGTCTCACTCTCAGTCTCAGCTTTGGCACTTTGCTAAGCAATACCTAAGGTTGACCTGTATTATATTGAGAAATGTCTAATCCCTTGGATGAAAGTATCTTTTGGGATAGCAATCAAGAGTCAATAAAAAACTACTGCCCAATTTTGTTTATCCAATACTAAAGGTGACAATTTTACTCTGAGATACAAATAGATTATGTACCTAGTCATAGAAATGAAATGAGATGCCAATTTTCACTCAATTAGAATTAGCGGGTTCCCTTTGGATGCCAATGTAGTGTAGGGTCGTAGTCACAGATGAAAATCCTTAGAGTCAGAGATGGCAACTTATCAGTTCCCAAGCTAAAAGGCCAAACAGCCAAAGGCCAGATACAACCTGCTGCCTTGGCCAAACTTAGAAACAGTAAAAAGCACACAGTCCTTTAGACATCAACCCATTACTCCCTGAAGATTTTTCCTATGCTTACACAACTCATGGCTAAAGATTCATTGATCTCCACCTCTACACACCAGGCAAACTATAAATGGGGCCCTCCCAGCCCAGCAAAGCCTCATGCACTCCTATGCAAGCTTCCCTTCATCCCTTGCCATTGCCGGCCTGCCTTGTTCCCAACACTATTTTCTTGGCCACCCAACAGTCTGCTGATGCCTCAAACACACCAAGAAGAACTGATTCAATTGCATACACACAGCACCCCAAGAGAAATCCCTGCATGCCAACAAACTACACTGACAAAGCAGTGAGGTTGCATTTTCTTGCCAAATTATTGGCATTTTTTATGGGCTTGTGCTTCTCTATGCAAACCACTGAGATGATCGAGTGTCTTCTTGAATCTTGAGATGGGTCACTTCTTAAAAACTAACTTTTGTTGCAGAAACTCTTGCCCATCTTGGCTTCAATTCTATCTCCATGAACTTTAAATAGCATTCACCACTATCTTAAATCACCATCATCATGGGTGGTCTTGTAAGTACCGTGTTAGGGCAAAATAAATGCTCAACAAGAGAGGAGGCATCAAAGAAGAGAAAACTTGAAGAAGAGGAAATAGATGAACTTCTGAAAACTCCTAAAGTGTAAGTATAACTAATTTATCTTAATTCATTTGATCAGTTACTAACCAATTAACCATTATGATTGTGGACCATTTTACCTATTCTTATGGTCCTATTCTTCTTATTTACCTATTCTTACAATTTTATCCTGTGAGAAATAATAAAAAATATATATTTTTCACCCACATTTTAAAAAATAAGCTGAAAGACAAGTATATTTATAGATAATTTTTGGGAAATTCTTCCTATATTACAGGTTGGACTGAAGCTGCTTACTAAAATCATAATACCTACAGAAAAATTTTCATTATTAAAGATACAAAAAATGAGATTAGATTAGCTAAAAACGTATTGAGCTTACTCAGCCTGGTATATAAATGCTGACAGTTATCCAAATTTGTTTTGCTGATGATTTGTAATTTGCTATATGGTAGTCAGTGTATTTTATGGCTGGTCAATTGTCATGTTCATTTTGATAGGTACATTTTTAATATGTTGTTTATTCACAATAAATGTTTCTAAACTATGTAGTACTAGTTTTATTTTCTTGACAGGTGATTATAAAGGAAAAGAAGGCAGCAGTATTAACTTCATTTATTAAACTTCTATAACATTCTACTCATTTAATCATCAGACAAATTGTTTCTATTGTAATGAGACAGCTTAGCAGTTTGAACTCCCTGCTGCAAACAATTTCCATTCACAGCAGAACGGAAATTGTACTGGGATGTGAATTTCATCTGGTTCTGTCATCTGGTTCATCTATAGAACCAGATAGTTCTGAAATGAAATGGCTCTATGAGAACTATTAGAGCATATGGTAGTTCTGGAATGACTGTAAGAACCAATGAGAACTATTTGAACAACAGTTTTGTTTTGGTTTCCACATTGTTTGGTTTTGGTTTCCACATTGTTTGGTTTTGGTTTCCACATTGTTTGGTTTTGGTTCCCACATGGAACATTATTCCACATTAAAGTGAAGTTCCCTGAGCTCCATAGCTTTTAACTAGGTGTAGGCAACAACAAAAGAAAATCTATTTAAAAATAATATTTTAGTTTCCTGAGCTGGCATTTGAAGATATCTCTGTTTATCTGCTTTATCAGTTATTGGGTTATAAATAAATGCTTACAGACATTGATTTTCATTATTAGGGTCTTGATGTTGGCCATAAGCTGCATTTGGTTAATTCTTTAGTTGAGTAGTGACCAATGTTGTCCCTCTGGCAAACTCTGACAAACTTGTATAATTGTGTCTAACCTTCACTCATGCAGGCAAGTTTACAGGACTACTGCTTCTAACCTAAGGTACACATTTCAAGCATGTTCCCTGAAACATTTGCTAGGATGCAACTATTATACTTAGAAATTTCCCATTGAGGAAGTTGATCAATGTACAAAGTTTATTTAAATACATTTAATGGTATTATGCTTAATACCTAAATTAACCTTAGTTTAGAAATATCATCAAAAACCTAATCAGGAAATACAAATTCATTGGGCAGTTTGGGAGATTTTCTGGCAGTTTGGCTTCAAAGTTTCTTATTATCTCCAAAATTATACCTATACTATTTACTGAAAAATTATACTTTTGTACTGTTTTACAGTTTTAATAAAGTTCCTCTTTGCTTAAACCATTTTTTTGGTTGGTTTTTAAGGTTTTAAAAAATTAAATATATGTAGATTAAAATAGATTAAAATTGAAGCAATTTTTCCAAAGATCTTAATAAGAAATAGGTAATTTTATGAAAATATTAAAAACATCAAGCAAATCAGTGAAAGAAGTTCCTAGGGTAGAATTGGCATTGAAAATTTTAACTGTGGAAAAACATCGAGATCTGGTTTCAATATTAACTTGTATTTTTCACCTTGCACAATATTGTGTAATATCATGTTTATGTTGAAACTAGGAGCTGAGTATAAGAGATTACCCTACTAAGATTATTTCATGATTTCTCATTTTATTTTTTTATTCAGCCACCATTTACATAAATTCATGTTTATTATAATTATTAAATACATACGGTATATGTTGTTTATTTCAGAAAAAAGCTGAAAACCACATCTGAATACATCTATGAAACCCTCTTCAAGAACGGAGAAAACTCTGATGTGACTCTCGTGGCTCTGGGGAAATGTTGGCACTTACATCGAGTGTATCTCAGGCAGGTGAGGTATATATATTTTATTGCTGGCATTATCATTTTTATTTCTTTTTAGGTTGGCTCTAATAAATAATTAAGTTGTGAAATATTCAAGTGTATCATATTTACCTATATATGTTGATATAAATATATTGTTTTCATTATTATGTATTTTATTTTATCATTTGTCAATCTGGCGGTGTATTCACTTTCTTGTTCTCTTTTAACGTTTCTTTAATGTGAAAAATAATGTCTTTTTTCAGAGTCCATACTTTGAAAGTATGTTCACTGGCAACTGGAAAGAGTCCCATGACAGTGTGGTCAGCATGACCATCATGGATGACAATGTAACAGTTGAAGGTATCTATATAGCTGCTTTTTGTTGATCATATACCGGTATCATTTTTATGTGCCTCCCCTGTTATTTGTGTGGAATTTTATTATATCTGTAAATGTAGATGCTTTGCTGTTGACTAAATTTTGTTGATTTGATAACTTCCATCTTAATTGTTGTTTGTATGGATACAATACCAGGTATGTTTGATTACTCCATTGTATGTAATGTTGGATTTTTCTGAGTACCGGTATATATATTTTCTACATTGTTTATATTAGGTTTATCAATGTTTGAAATAAAATTTTTGTATAGGTAGTCATTTTAGTTTGCATCTTAGTTGTTTGTGAGATATGCACTAATATTCTAAAGCTCAATAATAAATATTAATGTTAAAGTAATTTCTAGGTTACGGCCTTATTTATGGATGCCACAACAAGATTGAGAAGCCTGCATTATTCAGCACAGTTGTGCCCATTCATTCATTGGATATCTATTTACCAAACAAAGCTCCTTCTAGTATAAGCTTATACCTTATGGTACATGCATGCATTATGCCTGAGATTCTCTTCAGGAGAATTTCCAGAGATTCACTCAACTTGCAATTGATGTTGTAGCTCTAGAAAAGACGCTGGGGTTCCTGTACCGCGATGAGCTGAGCGTGACAGGAGAGCAAGTGGTGGGGGTGTTGGCTGCGGCAGTACTGCTGCAGCTAGACCCTGTCATCCAGTATTGCTCCTCAATAATGCGAGAGACAATCAACAGCCGCACCTTCCTCCAGTATTTCCATGTTGCCAACAGGTATCGTATCTACTAGAGTACTAGCACGTCCGCAAATTTAATTTAGACTAACTAAATTGAACTCCCACTTCAGTTCGAGTCATTTGCCTGCCACGCCTTTGTATTGGACTATTTATCATAAAATTAAGAACTGAATTAAATTTCAGTTCATAACTTTCTCAACAACGTTGAGAAAAACTGAACACAACCCTATTTTTGCTATTATTACGCTAACAACTTCCCATGTTAGAACATCAGTATTTGGTCACATATTAATCAAGGGAGCAATACCTTTCATGAAATATTTTACAACGAGCAGATACGGTGTGTTGGAAGTTGAAAAGCTCTGTGTGGAGTGGATAGAGCGCTGTCTGCTCACGTCCCTCAGTGATCACTGTGTGGAACTTCGTTCTCTGCCGCTGGAGATGCTACAAAAAGCACTCGCCTCCCCTAGCCTATTCGTCATCCAGACTGAGTTTTCTGTCTATGTCTTCCTCAAAATGTGGCTCTTCCTGCAGCTCCATCCAAACTTCGAAGGCAGTTTTGATGAAATTTCCATTGAAGCTCTTAAATACTTCAAAGGTAGACAGGTAAGAAATCCATCTTTGATGTAATCTTTGTATGTATGAATGCTTTGCTTACAATTAGCCTACTTGTCTTTTGAAGTTTGCCTTAACCATTAACCCTGTGTTTAAAGTCATAACTTGCAACATGATATCAATTTTACTGCTTGAAAAATGCTGGGTGTTTTTATTTTCCATTTTTCTTATGGTGAATCAAAAACGTAATGAAAGAAACTAATGAAATTTTTATTCAACGTTTTTTGATGAAAAACTAAATTTAATCATATCTTTCCCAATGATAAATTAATTATGCACTGCAAATTGGTGCAAAACAAAAGTGAAATTGGAAACGGAAAATATTTGTATCTTTTTATTGAAATTAATAACGTAAGGAGTTCAAGAGTAGGGAGCTAATTGTTTGAAACTTTGACTATGCTAATATGGAACTAAATTTATTTAGCCAGGATATTTATCCTGTAACTCCAGTAATATACAGCATTATTTCCCAATCCGAGGAATAAATATTGCATACTTTAATATCGTATCATTTATTTGTTCATCTCATGGTATCAAATGAATACTATTTTGCAGGGGCCATGCTTCTTGGATTGCGAAGAGGGCGTAAAATATCGGGGTATTTTCTGGCAACTGCGCCTGGTGTACATCTTGAACCATTACCTGGACATGGAGCTCATAGCAGCTGACAACATCCTGCCCAGACAATGGCTTCAGCCCGCCATCACACGCCAGTGGTACAACCTGCTCAGACTGTCTCAAGGAAAGGATACGGGGTGAGCAGCTCAACAGACATTTATTTAAATGGTTTTATTCGTCTATACTTTTCACTGTGGAGTCTGCTAGAGAACGATTTTTTTTTGTAACTGGCAGAGCAAAGAACTGAAAATATTAGTTGATTTCTGACAAGTTTGAGATTATCAATGATCAATAATCATTATTGATTTTTCATATGTTCTCATGCGCGTGTGTTCTTTTGCCTAATAAATTATATAAACAAAATCTCCATAATTTTTCATTTACTTTTACAGAATAATAAAAACTCACAATTTCTTTTGAAAATGCAACTTATTTTATCATATAATTTCATGTTACATAACATAATCCTCTTGCACCAGACCGTCGGAGCTGCCTGAGGATATTTTCGACCGGGAATGCGTGCGGTGTGGGCGCTGTTTTTACAGCAGCTCGCAGCACATCTGGCGCTGGACGGGCTTCAACTTTGATCTGGATTTAGTACTCTTCTTTGATGGATCAAAATTAACTATGAAGCGGAACAACCGAAGGCCTATCATGTTTCCAGCCATAGATGCCAGAAAAATAATGTTTAGGTACTGATATATTATTAATTAAGTATTTTTCTTCTGGTCTTATGGTCTCTTATATTTATTTATTAACTCTTTCCAGCCTATTTTATGTAGCTTCGTATTGATTTTAATCTGATTTTGTTCTGATAAAATTTCAAATTTTCATGATATTTTCAATCAATAACAGCAAATCGGCTGCATTTTGACTACATTCCGATGGTAGGGAAAAGACAAATAACAAAACAACAGCCCTTCTCACGTGGGTTCACAAAATTACTTGATTAAAATACAACTATTTTTCTTCATGTGGAGATTTTATTCGATATCACTTCTACGTTTTATATGTCTTTCTATCGAAATAATTATCTTCGTGATGTCAGAGTAACGATGGTGGACGGACAGCGCCAACAAGGATTCTCTCAAAGCTCTGGACTGCGCAGCATCACCTTTGGACGTCACGATGAAGCAAGTCATACATAATGCAATTTGTCGTATTCATTTGCTTTCATAAATTGTTGAAACAGAGTTACCAAAATCTAGAGTAAGTCAAATGAACTATTCATTTGATTATTCCACGCTCGAGTCAAATGAACTAGGTATATTCATTTGACTTGAGCGTGGCATACTTAATTTTCTTAATGCAAACTATGTTATTGTGCAGGTTACACTCCTTCAACTAGATCGTACAGACCTTAAATATCCTCTGTACCTGAGTGCGAATTTTCTGGTTTTTACGCCGAGTGAAAATCTGCCTCTGATCCGTGACTACGAACTTCTGCAGACGAATCCAAGTTCACCGCCTGCCAGACTGCACCGACGGAAAGATATTCTTCAGCGAGATTCCATTCCTGCTTACTCTGGTTTGTCAGATGACTCTGCAGATAATTTCGAGTCCTCGCTTAACGTTGACAACATCGGGACCAATGCTGAAAACGGAAATAATTTTTATTCTTCTGGACTGTCAAACCCAGTCGCCAGTTCGAGCGGTATACACGCCGCTTGTTCTGGTATTTCTGCCTCTAAAATAAGACCTCTTGCATCGAAAGAGAAGTGGACGCTATCCACTCCTCCCTTATTCAATCAGCCGTCGGATTCACAGCGGCCTGGTCTAATCGTTCTTGACGTTTCTGATCTTTTAGGCCGGCAACCGCATGACAAAGAGTTACTCAAAAATAGGATTTTTGAAGCGGTCCGACGAGCTTGTGGAAATGCAGAACTTGGCAACGATGACTCAACGCTCGCACAAGCAGAGCAAGTGCACAATTTTGGTGTCCAAGAATACAATGAAATTGAAAACAATGAACGGGAGAACGATGGGCTAAATGCCGGAAATCCTGTCGTTGATGAAGTTGCAGACGATGTGCGTGATGTGGATGACAATGAGCGAGAAGATCTTGACGAGCAAGAAGATGAGAGTAGTGACGATGAGCGTATCAATGTTGATGGAGGGCTTGAAATTGCCGATGATCAAGTGAGTGATGATTCAGACGACGCCCTCATTGAAGGTGATTTAAGTGACGATGAGGACTTGAACCTCCTAGACGTCGGTCGGAACCAACCAGTTGTAGATTATGTCTACTTGGATGATAATATCGAAGAAGAATCTAACTCAGATGATGAAATAGCTAGGTAATTGCAATTGCACCCACAAGTGATGATTTTGCTGCTGAGTCATGTTCGTAATAGTTGAATATTTACTTATCCACAAACTTAATCTAATGAAATAAAAACTTGGAACGTTTAGGTCGGGAATAGCAAGTAGATGTTACCTGAAAATACGTCTAGTTTCGCTATTTTTATGGTTTAGATATATACGATTCATGGGTATAGAATTATAAGAATTTTATTTTGTTCTAAATGCAAAAACATTGCGATTAATCCTTCGTCTTGTTCTATTTACATCTTTAAAAAGATATTATTTAACCTTGTACGATTAACTAGCTGGTTACCTTATCTGAATGCGTTTTTTACTGGATATAACCAATTAGTAATTACCTACTTGGCTTACGTGCTCTGTTCGTTTTTATTATTCTAACGTATGGTAGGAGAATACGAAATCTAATGTGCAGTTTATATAAATATTTTTTATTTCTAATTTTCTAGGTGGTTGTGTTGTTTCTGTTTTTGATACATTTTTAAAGGTAGTTTTTTATTACTAAAATTTAGAGATGAGAATCAAGCGAGTTGCATGATGCCGTTTGAGTTTAGTTATCACATGGATTTTTCACGTGTGAATTCAGGCAAATAATGTTGATATGTGGATCAATTGCTCCAGAACCCGCCAGCGTTTCTAATTGCTGAACATAACGTTTTAGAGTTTGAAAGTGAACGTTGAGAAGAACGTTTTGATCCAGAAAACTAGGATCGCATATAAAGGGCTCTATTCAATCATGTTAATCTTTGCGCCTGTACACTCCTGTGCCGCTATTGAAAGAAAGAAAGTTGTATATGATCTATTTATTTTTCCTGTATTCCTTATTTTATTTTAGCCTGCGAATGTTCCTTCAGTCTATGTTTTTCTTCGAATTGCTCAAATTTAACTTCATATAGTCCATTAACAATATCTTGAGTCAAATGATTTATCACTTTCTATAGGATAGAATTTGGTTTACACTGAGATTTTCACAGTGTCAGTTCCCGGCACGGTATTTTTCGTCGAAAATTGTTTGCAGTTTTATGTATGCATTCATGTTACGTAGAAGTGCTTGAGATAAATGTGCCTTGATTTAGCAAGAACCGTGCTGGCAGTGGCACATCATTTATTGTAATCAAAAATATCAAGTCGAAGTATCAAGTGGCAACGAATGGTTCTTTTAAAGCGAGTAATGCCAGACAATAACTAAAATTACTTTTCAAACGGAAAATTATGGCGGAATAGCATGAAAAGTGAAGACAATCGAAGATGCTTCGCCTTCGCTCCGGATTCGTTGCAGACAAAACGGAGTGATGCGTGGTTATACCCTGAACGCAAATTCTCAATTATATATGATCTATGTTTATGTAATTGGTGTTGAACGCGTAAATATTGCCGAATAAATGCATTTAGCAATTATATTAGTTGTACCTACGCGTTCTTAAAGCTTAGTTTAGAGTAAAGCAACCTGGTCAGTGGTCACACCGTCACAATAACCAATAACTGAAATAAGCTTTAAAATTTCATGACTTATAAGTTATAGTCTCTGATCTCTGTCATTTAGTGTCATAGTCATAACTCATAATCCGTGCCATGCAGCTTGACGCTTGCTACCGTAGTTGCTACGATCACAAATTGTGACCATAATTCTAGATTTTCAGACCCAGGCTTAGTCCAGGTATGTTCCATAGGTTGTTGGTTGCAATTGCAAATAATGATTTTATGATGCTTAACTTAAATTGTTGCTTGTTTAATACCTAAGAAGCTAAGATGGCAATGGACATGGAAAAAATTAATCATTATTCAGTGCAATCAGTGGTAATGTTTGATTAGCGCCCTTAGCGGCATTAGCCTATAAAACTTGTCTCTGCTCCAGTTCTATTGATCTATTTTACCGCCTACCAGTCCAGTGTGACTTAACTTCAGTTAGGTAGTACTGTACAGAAAACTTTCAAGGCTTCATACCTATTTGCAACAGTAAGCTGTAACTTTGTAGGCTAGGCTACACAACACACTCGCACATACTACGTAGTGCGGTAGTGGCAAAGCAGAGTTTTTTAAACTCTCCCTCAAATTCATTTTTGAGTCCTATAAGTAGGCAAGCAAAGTATCATCAATCATGGATACCAGGCTCAGCGTCTAAAGCCGTCCATCATTATCATACATAAGGAATTGTTTTAAATCTTGAGTAAATGAGGAGATTAAAAATGAACTGATTCTAAAAAATCTCTGGTTTGTCACTAGCTATGCTGAACAGTGAACACAGACCACAGTACTACCGAAGAGTCAGAAGTAACCCGGACATGTCTTACATTTTATTATTGTCAGTTCGATTTGCGTAGTCAATATACTCGCGTATATTGTCTACTAAAATAGTAGAACTATTTTAGCTTTCTAAAGTACGGCGCACGGTGCATTTTTTTTTTACCAACGTAGTACGGCGCACCGCGCAGGTCGTTAAAATGACGAAATAAATTCCCGCGCACCTGGCACATCTTCCTGACCATGGCACGTGGACTGTGTGAGTGAGTGAATTGGATAGAATCCACTCAATAGTGTGGCGGAACAGTGGAGTTATTTCTTATTGCGAACCATCGCAGTTCCTTGTGTATTATTTCTATTGTAAGGCGCTCATTGCCCACAAATGAGAAAAAAAATGCCTGTGCTTTGTGCTTGTTTTGTTATAAATTTTAGTCATTTTTATGTCCCTTGCTTCATTTTGTTCATGAAAATCTAAATATGGTCCATTTTTACTCACAATTTTGATGAATTTTTGCCTGATATTCCTGATCACCTGAAGCAACCTGATCCAAATTTATGAAAAGTATTTAACTTAAGAGGAGCGTCTAGCTATAAATTTTGAATTTTGGCTTCTCTGGTTTTTAGTCTCATCCTAAAGTTGACATTCTGACCTATCCAACGGTACCACAACCATCTCCATGCGTTGATTTATGCATTCACAATTTCACATCAGTTGCGAAAGCATAAATCAGTTACATATGAGACTTTGTTTGCATATGTAAAACCAAAAAATAGACTGATTATATCCATGTCAATTTAAAAAAAAATAAAAGAAAATGTGAAATTCTTAGAAAACGGCCAAAAAGGAAGTACTGTAGAAATCTATCTCCTAGGACATTCAAGCTACAATAACAAGATGCATATCATTTGATGTGTAAGGACCATAGGCAGGTAATTTCACAATTATTTAACATTTTAGGCCACTAAATGTTGATATCTTAATGCTTTATTCTTGAAGTTGTAGTTTCTTGCACAAACGGCATCAGCATGGTTTCTGCAGTAATAACTTTTAACTGTACATCCCCCCCTATCTATTAATTTGTCATAGCTTTTTTGGAAATTTGAATATTTGTGGGTGCGGGAGCATTTTTCTTTAATTTTTCAAAAAATTTTTGATTCCTCCCTATTTCCCACCCCCTTTTTTCCAGAATATTTTCAAAACTAAAACAAAATTGAAAAAATTCTTTGATCAATCTCTAGATCATTTATTTGCAATTTGAATGGTATATCTCTCTTTGCTATAGCTTCAAAACTGTAGGAGGAGATAGTTTTCCAGTGACAATAAGTTGACTTTTCAGTAGAGAGCCTGACAAAGTCTTGCGCGCCTTGAAATAGACATTTAAGGGAGCAAGGTTGCAAGATTAGACAATACTGGAGCTTAATTTCTGTCAAGGATGGTGCAAACAACGGCACAAGAACCATCCCATAGGACTGCAGGTGGTTAACTGAAGCACAGCATGTTTATTCTTGGCTATTTAAGTGTGCTGCCAGAAATTTTGGCCTATCTTAAATGTTAAAGAATTCCACTGCTCCTAACCCTTTCATTGATCTATAGTGAACGCATAAATCAACTTACACAGATGGTTTTGTTCATGTTGGATAGGTCAGAATGTCAGCTTTAAGATGAGACTTAAAAGCGGGAAAGCCAAATTCCAAAATTTTTGGCCGGACTCTCCCCTTAGTTGCGCTGTACTGAACATTCACACTTATTGTCACTGCAAGCCAATGACCTATCTCCTCCTAGAGTTTTTAAGCTACAGCAATGAGAGATATACCATTTGATTTGCAAATAAAAGATCTATCCATTATAGCATTTTTTCAATTTCATTATAGTTTTGAAAATAATTTGGAAAAGGGGGTAAATTTTACAAAAAATGCTTCCCTACCAACAAAAATTCAAATTTCAAAAAAAACTACAATTAAGCAATAGATATGGTCTTCATGTATTGAATAATATGCAACTAGATATTGTAGCTTGAAAATCCTAGGACAAGATAGATTTCTACAGTACCATACCTTGTTTTATGGCCGTTTTCTAAGAATTTCCATTTTTCTTTCATTTTTTGCGAAAAATTGACATGAATTGAAGCAGTCTATTTTTCTGTTTTACATATGTGGTACCAAGTTTGAAAGTGATCCGTCTGTAAATAGTCGAGATAAAATTTTGATCAGACGCTCCTCTCAAGAGATGCAAGATTTCACTACTGTAAAAGGGGGTTATTTTGACTACTTTTTTTAAATGATACAATTTTTTACTAGCTAAATTAGACTTAGATTGAAACATGCAAAATACAGGTCTATACTCTAGGGTCACTCACCATAAATTGCTGGCTCCTGCCTCTCATAGTTTTGATGTAATTTCAAATAAAATACGTTTAAAAATTACTTTTTAAACACAACACTTCCAAAGAATCCAGTGTCTCCAATCTTACAGATGTACAATGAATTTCTCATTTAATTTTTGAATATTAAAAAAATTATTTTTTCAATTTTTTTAATATATAAATTTTTTTCAAAATTATTTATTATATTAATTGATTCATGCATTGCCTCTGACTTCACACAAGTGTGCAAAATTTCAGATCAATTAGACAGGTAAAAGTGTGTCAAATATCAGTTATAAGATTTGTAGCTGACAAAATTATTTTTTCAATTTTTTTAATACTGTAAAATGAGGTAACTTTGACCACTTTTTTTTTTAAAATGTTTGAAACATGCAAAAAACAGGTCTATACTCTAGCTTCAATCACCATAAATTGCTGGCTTCTGCCTCTCATAGTTTTGATGTAATTAATAGTCATAGTTTTGATGTAATTTCAAACCTAAATTGAAACCTGCAAAAAACAGGTCTATACTCTAGCTTCAATTACCATAAATTGCTGGCTTCTGCCTCTCATAGTTTGATGTAATTTAAAAAAAAGTTATGGTCTTTGTTACCCCAGCTCTTGGGGTTTCTTTGACTGGGTGATAAAATCAATTTTATTTTTTGGTAAAATAACTCCAAGTAACTCCAGGTTATGGTGCATTATAGTAGAACTCTTCTAGTTACATATGCAAATGACAAATTTTAGGAGTGTCATAGTTTGCAAATTGGGGTGCCACCCCCCCAATGGGCGAAATGTGACCACCTAATGGCAGCCGTGACGGGGTAACATTGACTGGCTTGGAAATTAAGTTAAAATTACCATATATAAGACTCTGTAGAGTCTGCAACATGAAGAACAAACATTAATAGGTGTATCAAACATAAAATATGTTATATAGGTACCTATAGTAATTTTAACTTAATTTTCAAGCCGGTCAATGTTACCCCTTCATGGCTGCCATTAGGTGGTCAAAGTTCCCCCATTGGGGGCAGCGCCCTCCATTTGCAAACTAGGACACTTTCCTAAAATTTGTCATTTGCATATGTAACTAGAAGAGTTCTACTACAATGCATCAAAACCTGGAGTTATTTTACCAAAAAAATAAAAAAAATTGGAGGGGGTACTCCAACAGGCTTTAAATAATAGCTCTTTTTTGTGGGTCACATTTTTAATTTTTTAACCTATTAGATATGCCAACTTTTTAAATCTTTCTATTGTGTTACGTAGCCTCAGTCTTAGGCCTTTAATGGTCATTGAAAAAATTTTTCTATGTAAAACAGTTTTTGAGTTTTGGGGTTTTTTGTTAAAAAAACGTAAAGTGTTCAAAGTTACCCCGGGAGTCGTAGTAACCCCATTTTACGGTACGCACTCTCCAAGCCATAATTTTAGTTTTGGAAATTAGATTCATGTATATGCAGTTCCCATGAACTGAAAACATTTTTAGTGATGTGACTTAAAAAAAAAAATATTCTCAGATTGACGATTGAATCTGCTATTTTTGTTACGTAACTTATAGTTTCAGAGTGAAGGCAGCAATTTTTCAGTAGTATGCTCAGTCACCAGATCATCATCTTGCCAGTTAAAAAAAATATAGTTGAATATGTATATTTTGTGAGAAAGCTAATATTCTGGCATATTTTTCCTATTTTGATAAAGTCAGTACTGAAGACTCATCACTGAAGAATACCAATTACTACCTATGACAATTTTTTGTCTACAGTATAAAATTTAATGTTGTTGTTTGGTTAATGATGAACTCCTGTTGTAATAAGATATAGGTACGTACCTATACTACTAATTACATTTATAATGTTCCATGTTGGATGAGTGAAAAACTCTTGAATAAAGCTCTGTGTTGAATAGAAACTGAGATTTCAAAAGGGACATTAAATTGCTGCAAGTGTTTTTTATAAACGGTTTCATAGAAGATTCTATTTTTTTCCAGAAAAAAGTGTGATGGCATCTGCAAATGTTAAGTTGATGTGGCATGAGGCCCGATCACAGGAGAAGAATGTCCAGAAGATGTTGGTCGACTATCGCAAAAGAGCTGAACGCAGAAAGGAGTACTATGACAAAATTGTACGAGTTACTACCTTTTTTACCTGACTGAAAATAAGTATTCCATTTCCTTGCAACTAGTTTCCTTGTGTATTTATAAACAAATTGCAATCATTTTATGCAACCTGATCTACTTCGATCATTATTAGAAATATTTATATGCAGTTTGATTTTAAGGCATAATATAAGACAAATTTAAAGAAAGTTCTTGAATTCCATTCTTGTTCATGACTCAATCCGTGTGAAATGTCATCATTTGTATGCCTTTTCTTTTTTGTTTCCCCAAGTGGAGGCAACTAATATACTTTCAGATTCCCTAGTGTGAATTTTCGAGAGTTATTTCCTACTTATTTTACCCAAATGGTCTGGTCAATGTTTAGTAGGTATTTATGTAACTCAAACTAATATTGACTTGAGTGCATGGAAATCTTTTGACATTATATATAACTGATGATTTGCAGAAGTTGGAGCCAATGCAGTTCCTGCAAGTTCATGGACGTCACATCAAAATTCACATGGACCCAGCTGTGTACATGGCAGCCGAGGCTCGTGGCACTATGTCAGTTTAATACCTACTATATCTCTCATTCAATATTTATTTACAGCATTTGGCATTATTGTTAAAACTCTTAATTTATTAATTAATGGATGAATGATACCAAGGAAATTTAAGAGCATTGTTATAGTCAGCAATCGTATTTATTTTCCTTGTAATTAAATCATAAATTTGATTGTATATAGTAAAATATATATTTGCTTTGATTATGTTTATGATATATATTATGGTAGCTTAGTGTCTTGAATTAATTTACTATGGCAAAATTCCATGCACACTCAAGTTACTAAGGAGTTTAATTTGTGTTGTGATTCTGGTTTCTCTGTGACAGGTTACCATGGCGAGGCGACATGTCTTGCATGATTGACAGATTTGATGTGCGTGCTCATTTGGACGAAATTCCTGCTAACCCAGGCTCGGATGAAAATGGTGATGAGAGCCATGATGGCCAAGATGAAGACGAGACTCCACTTGACTGGGAGGAACGACAAGCTAATTATGAACGTTACAGAACACTTGTTCAGAATGATTTTATGGGCAGTGAGTGCTTCATACATTTAATTTAATATAATTCAGGCAGCAGCCATTTGGTGCCAATTACATTTATATTTATTTTATTTCTCAGAAGTGATGAATTGTTTTCAAAGTGGCTTCAAAATGTAGAGCCACTTCAGAAATATTTATTGGAAAATGTGTCACATGAATCTGAAAAATTCTTTATTACTTTATTTTTTGCATATTTATTACTGAATGCTCCCATTTTTTAATATATAGTTGATGGCTTTGAGATAACAGTTTGAAATAAAATGCTACTATAAAAGCCAGTCTATGATACGCCATGTCATTGAATCATTATTATTACATGTGAGTTTCCATTATTAACTTAGTCATGTTGTTGTCATGTTAGTCATGTCTTCATTATTACCTCAGTTGGTGAGGAACGTTTCCTGCAACAAATACGCTATGAGGAGCTGTATGGTCCAATGGGAAATAAGCCTGTTGAAGAGGAGAAGAAAGCTGCTGCATCTAAAAAAGCTGCCATTGGCTTCTCTTATGACGACGACAACAACAGCCCCTTGCCTATGCTGCTCCCGGCTAACATTCCTTTGCCTGCATCCAAGCCAGCTCCTGCCGTGCCTAAAGCAGCTGCGGATGACGAGAAAAACGCCAGTGATGAGGAATCTGATAGTGACATCGATCTTGGTAAGACTTGACCTGGCTTATTCTATGCTGCTAACTAATCTAAAAGTTTGATTTAGATCTGATTGAAATAATATCAACTTCACGAGTTTCATCCTTCTGTCGATAATTAAAAAAACTGTTGGTACTTCGGGATAATCAACTTTCTGGCTGTAGGAGGACGAGCTAAAGACTCAATCTTCTTCCTATTTTCTGTTTTTTCCCTTTCTTTTGCCGTAACAGACGTCATATAAATTTCATGAATGTGTTCAAGGATTTTTTTTTCTAGCTGAGCGAGTGAATATTATATATTCTTTTTAATCTGTGAATGCTATGTCACTTTCATACTGAATTAGCTTTGTTGGTGATGTATTTTTAAGGTTACGTCATATATATTGCGTTTTAGCAGTGACAGACATGTTTGTACTTGCAGACATGACGGTGGATGTACTGCAGCTGGACAATTCACAGCAGCAACAACTGAACACATCAGGCAAAAGTTATGGGCTATGCAAGAGTGACTTCATGGACTTGATCAGCAGAGACTTGCAAGAAGCTGAGGAACTTAGACAAGTCAAACAACACCTCGACGAAAAAGCCATGCTTTCGGTGGGATCAATTTTTCAGCTGTAGATTGCTTTTGATATCGTTTTAGGCTGAATAATGATAGGAATTAACTAGTAGGTATTGACAATTCAGTAGGAATATTCCATTGGTAGGGCCATGCTCGATAGTATAGCAGTGAATTCTTTCTCAATAATATTCTGAATCATGAAAGAGTTCTGAACACAATAACTTGAAACTGCAATTTTATGACCATGTGTATTTGTAGGGTCGCAAATCACGAAAAGAGAGACGAGCTCTAAAAAAGAAGCCTACTGACAAAAAGTGCAGTCCTCCAAGGTATGTGGGGCTAATTCATCAGTGACTTGGTGTGCCCAATATTTGTTTCTGTCTCACTGTCTTATTTGTCCAAATCATGTTCAAAAGTCGAGTAATTTTTTTGTTTGGATAATGATTTGAAATTGTGTACAAGGCTGAGATTTATATTCTTTAAAATTTTTCCGTTAATAGTAGTTGTCAAGCTTATTAAGGAATACCAAATTTTTCATCATAGTATTTATAAAATTGCATTTCATCATGGAATTATCAATGTATAAGCTTATTCGTACAGACAATTCAGATGAATCTAGGAATTATCCAAATAATTCAGAGCATGGTAGGTTTACTCTCTTTGAAATGTAATCTTTGCTGATTATTTATATTTTTTTATGCAACGCTCTTGTCCTGAATCTGTTTGCAACACGTTACCTAGAATGAGCTCTTACCTGCAATATTTAACCTGTTCGAAATTGTTTCAGTTACGCTGCACGAAGCAGCCCTACGTACCAGCCCTACAGGAAGAACTCTTCATCTCGATCCCCGTCTGCATCGCCGCCTCCGCCCGCTGCTGCTGGTAAAATTAAATTCATCACAAGCTTTGGTGGTGAAGACAGCGATGCCCAAGATTCAGAGAAGGACGAAAGCGTCACTGGCATGATTATATTGCCTAAGAATCCATCGGCATCTCGTGACAGGAAGCGTGACAAAGACAGGAAGAGCAATCGTTGGGATCAAACAAACAAGGATCACCGAGATGACGGCAAAGGACGCGACAAAGGGAAAGACTCACGGGACCGGGACTCGAGAAGAGGAAGGGAGCGTTCTCGAGACCGAGACAACAGAGCGTACGGCCGAGACCGGCCCAGTGAGCGAGACAGCCGAGGCCGCAAGGACCGCGACGGCAGAGAGCGTGGACGCAGAGACTCCGGAGACTGGCAGCAGCGACCTCCTTCTGGTGACAGCAGACGCTACTATCACACCCGGTCGGTGATGGTCTCTTGATCTGTGCCGGCCTGAAGCTCTAAAGTCTCTATGTAGTACAAACAAGCCTGAGGTAAAAATGTTTACATGAGGTTCTGCATCAGGTCGGAGCTATAGAAACGGTTTTACATTGCTGTTTCATTCGGCCCCAGATTAAGATCTGAAAATTTACACAAACGAGCACCAGCCTCAGACATTGTTCAAGGCGGTTATAATTCCTCTGCCTATGCGACCTTGGTTGCGATTAGCTTTGTAGTCATTATTAATCATTAATTCTGGTTTTTAGTTATTAAGAGCACCGGTGGTGGAACGGTTTTTCTACTACTATTCAGGGTAGCCCTGCGAATGTCGATGCTATGGGGAATTATTGTTCACTACAGAAGTGATGGCAAAATATGAATGCATGTTATGATCGTAGGTCGCCATCTGACAGCCGTGCCACCAGGAGTCCCGACTACCGCAGACGCTCTGGAAGCCGCTACACCCGTTCCCGGTCGCGCTCCCGTGACAGGTGTGTGATGTTCTCATCATCATGTCCTAAGACCTGTAAAAGCTAACCGTAGCTTTCACAGAAATTCAACCTAATCCTTGGATTCATCTCATTTGCCGTCTCATTCATCTGAAGAGAATTAATTGTTGATGATGTCAATAACTGTTCTCTGAATTTGCATTTTTTTTATAGATTTTGCTATACAAATTTGAAGTTTGTTAGGAAATTTTTATTTTTTACTAATTGTTTGTATATTATTTATGCTTTTTTACATTATTCCATGACATTCCAGGAGCTGGAAAGTAGTTTGCAGGACAGTTGCATAGCTATCGAACTCTAATTGTCTATATTGAGTGGTCATATGATCACAACTTCTGCTTAATGTCAATTTTTTAGCAGGCGTCGGCGCTCTCCGACACCCCCTTCCCATCAGCCAACTAATTCGAGTACTCATGAGGTGAGACGATACTTACAGGCTACTTATAGGCAATCGCGCTAATAGTAATGTGTTTTCTTTACCATGAATTCAAAAGTATCAGTTTTTGAGAAGATATTCGTTCAGGCGCTTTATTTTTTGTCTCAATCTTGTGCCTATATTCATACTGTTTGGTGGTGTTGTAAAATTTAGGCCCTACGAATAAGATCAGAAACTGGAGTTTGCTCGAGTCAGAGCCACTTTCTATCAATTTATTTTCTTATAATAGACACAGAAACAAAATACAGCCGGAAATGTCTTAATTTATAAATTAATGCATGAAGTACTCTCATTCAGTTAGCCTGGCTGATGTCAAAGCTATTAATGTCTAGCGTCCCAACGAGAACCAAAACGTGTTTGACGATCAATATTTTCTCTGCTGTCAGGATGGTCGACCGAGCACGATCGCCCAAGAAATGGATAAATCTAGCTCAGCGACTCCTGCGCAGCCGCCCGCTCGCCGCTACTACGGCCGCAGGGGCGGCACCACGGACTCTGAGGACGAGGATGACGCCAACGACGGAGCGGCAAGCAAGGCAGCTTCTGCCTCGCTCACTCAGTACGTTAATGTTTAGAGTCCGAACGTCTTAGTTTAGTGTACGTTGCCTCTACGATGTTAGTCAAAGATTAATGTGTATTTCTGGATATAATATATACATGACTATTATGCGGCATTATTTTTCAATGAATGTAAACTGTCTTGTTCCACAGGACGCCTGGAGGAGGAAGTATTGAGGACATTTCGGCGACACTCAAAGTCAGTAAGAATCTTTCGTAGCGCGTGGTGATCTGAACCCTTACTTGCAGCTTGGCTTTTATCTTACTCTAGGTCCAGACTATGGATACCAAAACTTCTACCAGAAACATTTCCACAAATTTTGACAGATCTACGATCCATAGCTTAGTTAAATCTTTCACCTTTGTGTTTTTTCTACTCGAAATGACGTTGAATACTCGCGACCAGAAACTCGATCACTTCAATTGTGGTACCAGATCTATAAAATCATTTAGAAAGTGGGAGGTTGGTATTGAGTTATTCATGTATATTACAGCTTTTTACTTCATGAATGAAGTTGATACTCTGCCAAACCGGTGCATTAATTCTTTATTCAATCATTATGGTTTGGGGATATATCGACACCCATGATTGCGTGACGCGGATGAGGTTGTGTCCTCTCGAGGTAAAGTTTGGCGTCTTGTGTCCCGCCCTCACAGCGGCCTGGCTTGATCGCAGGGAAATATCGTGAAGGGTTATGAGTAATTTGATAAAAATGTAATTGTCTAGTCAATTTGAATTATTTTGTTTCATCTAGTATTAAAGAAGAATTGAGCGTCAGTATTGTGCAGCACGACTCTTTGATATGATCATATTATGCATCCAACTTTTTTGCTATTCTCTTACAGTTATGCCACTGCTTTTATGGAGCAGCAAGTGATAACAATATGATCAGTAATTTTAGTTACTTCACATAAAGATTGGATTCTGCAATAATAAAGCACGAAAACGTAATCTGTTCTTCGTTAAGTCGTCGTTTATTTTCAAAAATGTAGTCGTTTGGATTGTATTTGTATAGTAATCAGCATGGGATTGCTTTACGGTCAGCATCTGGACCGCGATCCGTCAGTTAGTGGCCTCTGCTGTTCGGCAAAAACAAACATGTTAGTTTTTTGATCGCAGCCATTTGGTACTAGAGTACCATGACAGTTGTGCTTAAGCAGCAACTGCCTCTGCACGAAATGACTAGTCCGACAGCCGCCACTAAATGTAGCCCTCTACACTTATTAGCGGTTACTTCTTGCCAGCTAAAGGGGCATCCAAAACTTGGCTTGAAGTGGCATCAAAACGCACTTGAATAACGAACGGCGCGTGGGCAACGATGACATGCGTTGGTGCGCATGCGACTGTTCATTCTTGAGGTGTACCCTGACTCGTATCCTGGTCGCCCCTACCTTTCACTACATACGCGAAGTCTCATTAATAAAACTTGTCATGAGACTTTGTCACTCGCTTCTCGAGTCATGTTCGTTGATTCCCATTCCATTTAAAATATTTTTTTTTCTTATCCGCCGCGTTTTATAACACGTCGAGCGCGAAAAGACTTGGCATCGGTACTTTATCGCATGTATCAGCATTAAGATCGTCTTCCTGTGCACTTAAAGTAGCGTCTCATAACAATATTATAATATTCATGATAATAATACCAAAATATTTGTTCTCGAATAACGCGCCTCTGGATGCTCAGGGCAGCGGAACTGCGAGCAACGCTACTGTCGCCGCGGCGCGTAAAGAGAAACTCCGCAAGAAAATGCAAGCGCTCCTCAAGAAGCAGTGTGAGTAACTGCATGTTTTATATAATTGAATTTCAGCCCACGCTCATTGGACAAGATGCACGTCTATTACTGCTCTAATAATGATGAAATTTCAATAGTATCGTAGATTCAATGAATTATAAAATAAAAAACCATGACAGGCAAGGCCGACAAGCTTCAAGAGCGGGAGCGTCAGGAGAAGCAGATGCAGGAACGCCTGGACAGGGAAGAGGAGCTCAGGGAGATCGCCATCAGGATGAGAAAGCGGTACGGGATTTTGCATCAAACTTTTTTGTTGCTACTTACTAGTGTTATTGTATTTTCATTAACGGCCTCAAGAACAATATCTTCAGAATGAATATGCTACGGCATTTAACCGATAACTGATTCTAACGCCATAAATAGTACGTTCCAGCTTCTGCAACTTTGAAAAGCGCATTTAATGACAACAGGTGATTCAGTATTATTTAATCCAACATTTTCTTAGTTTTTAAATCTTTTACTATAAACTCACAGAGAACGCGAGAAGCGCCACCGTCGTCATGGATCAGACTCATCATCATCCCGGTCATCGTCTCGTTCCTACTCGCCGTCAATTCGCTCGCGTCGGTCACCTTCGTATCCTCGACGCTCACCTTCTTATTCTCGACGGTCCTCGTCCCCTGACGATGTTAGGAGCAGGGTGAGGTCGATTACTATTTATGTTTCCGAGCTTATGACCATGAAATCGCATGCAGTTCATGTTTTCCGTAAATCTACCTACGTCTGTTTTATATCGTTGATAAATATCTTGCCGTGATTTTGGTCAAAAACGGACAACATTTTTTTTCTTCTATGTGTCTCTCACTTCATTTCCAGTGATAAGTACGAGCAGTTTTTTTTTCTAGTCATGATGCTCGCGGTTTGATAGCCAAATTTTACAATTTTACAGCTGATGCACCAGGCTAAATTTGTCCGAAGACCAAACGCTATCTTTTTTTCATAGCAGATGCACCATAGAAAATGAGCTTTTGGCTTCTCTTGCTGGCAGATATAAATCGTATATCTTTGTTTTAAATAAAGCTTCTTTTACAATATTTATTTTTAATAACTACTAGTTTATGTACACTAGTCTTCCATACACTAATTGAATTGAGGCTGCAATCGAACTTTTTCCTAATGGGTAATGCCATGGGATGAGTTTTTTATTCATTGAGTTTCCATGCAACTGTTTACATTCAAAATAATCATAGCAATTGATTTTTTGTGCAGCCGTACAGAGGACGCGAAAACGAAGGCCGTGGCAGGAGTCGCCATGACTCACGTTCCCCTCCTCCTCCTCCTCCTCAGAGACGGTCAGACCGAGCGCTATGGTGTTTGATTTATTGTGAGGGTATTGATTCTGAAGTGTTCAATGCTACGTATTAACTGCTGTTCTGTAGCTACCTTAAGTCGGTGTTTTTTTAACCATTGAGTGAATTTGTGCAGCTTCTGCATTTGCGACTGAATTGAACATATTCTGTGGGAACTACTGGTGGAGGGTGTGAATAAGTAGCATTTTTATAAAATAAAGAAAATTGGAACTATTTTTATTCTTGCGACATCATAGCTGGATAAAACTAGAAGTCGTTGAATTCACCCTCCATTACTGGTTGTTTTGCAGTGAAATACCGTACGGCAAGCAATCCTTGGCAGTCGATGACCTTTTCGTTTCTTTTTGGATCTCAGGATGCCGGTTGAGGACCGACCGCCGCCACGTGCAGGCTTACTCCCGTCGCCAACGGCACCTCCGCGCCTCATGGACCTCGTTCCTGACGTGCGACGGCCTCCACCTTCCAGAAAATTCTCCCCTACATCGCCGTACCCGCCCGCACCGTCTCGTCGGACTCCTCCTCGTTTCCCACCGCCTGGTCCTTCTCTCTGCCCTACTCCTCCTGGTGTAAACTCTAGGGATTATCGCAGCGACCCCAACGACTTCCGTCGTGGGGATTGCTATGCCGGTGACAACTATCGAGGTTTCCGCGGGGACGGCGGAAATAACGGTACTGACGGCTACAATAGGGATGGTTTCTACCAGCCGCCACCACTACCACCACCTCGTGATAACAGGAGAGGCTTCCCACACTTGGGTGGTAATCGTCCCCCGCAGCAACCTCCAATGCCAATGATGAACGATTTCGATAACTACGATGACAGACGAGGCCGGGACGGTGGTGGTGGTGGATTCAGGGAAAGAGAAGAACCAATGAGAGGTGGTGGATTTAGGGACAGGGAAGAGCCAATGCGAGGCGGTGGATTTAGGGACAGGGAAGAGCCAATGAGAGGTGGAGGATTCAAGGACAGAGAAGAATTTCCCATGAGAGAAAGTGGTGGATTCAGAGATAGGGACGAGCCCATGAGGAAGGCAAATTTCAGGGATAGGGAAGAACCACCCATGACTGGTTTTAGGAATAGAGGTAATGCGATGCGAGGTGGCGGAGGTGGACGGAACTTCAAAGGCGACAACGGCGGCCCTCCTTACAGAGATCCACCTCCTGCGAATTTCGGCAGAGATCGTCGGGATAACCAAGACTTCAGGCCTGAAAGACGGTTCGTGGACCGGGAAAGAGACTTCAGGAACAGACGGGATGAGGAGGACAGGTTTGTTTTGTTAGCATTTCGTTCCTTGGTTATTCTGAGGCCTGCCATTACCAACTGTTTGCTTATTGCGTGAATAAATCACAGATGTTTGTCGTAGTTCCCATCAGGGAGTTTTCCTTATTATTTGCATTAAATTTCATGACTAAAAGAATAACTTCAACACATCTAGCAATTGGTTTTATTGATTTTGTGAACAATGTTTTAGTGAATTATTCATGAAATCTACTGTTCCTGCAGGAGCGCTTTGGATGTTAGTGGATGCTTGGTGCATATTATAACTGAGGTTTCTGTCATTATTGAAATGTCGACAGAGTATAGTTTGGGAGAATAATGCGATTGGCATATTATGCTTGTGTTCAAAAGAAAACAATATATTCTTATCTGTGATTTATATGAATATCCTACATTGAAAGTACATTTTTATTTTTTACAGGCCGGAACCTTCAGGCCACGTCAAACTTGTGGACTACTGAACAACGCAGCCATCTTTATCCTTGGAAACGACATTTTTGTTGATCATTCATAAAATAGATACCCTCTAGTTTGACTAAATTAGGTGTACAGTAAATTTCCGAGTATTTTTCAGTTCATTAAATTTCACTTCTCGAGTTCAATCAGTCCAGAATTCTTTTCTGAATCTTCCCTCGGACATACGATGAAAGCTCTTATTATATTAAAGTGGCAATTTGTCAATTTAAAGACTATTTCATTGACGGGTCTTCTGAAGCTTATCGATTATTCAATTAGGGCAGCGCATCTTTTATTCCGATATGTTTGCACTTGACACCACTTTATGCGTCAGCTGAGTCGTGAAGAGTGCAATATCTAGTAGTGTATAAATGAGTCGCAATTGTTTGTATGCATTTTATCGGCATTATTTGGTAAAATACAAAATAATTGAATTGAAGGTTTTTTATTACCCAAATTTCCTTCTTACCTCGTTTGAGTACGCGACTCTATTATTTTCGTATCTTCACCGAAGATATTAGACCACACGAAATAGCTGCAAAGCGTTTAACCGTGTCAAAACTCAAACAATTGCTCGTAGAACACAGTCAGTATCGTTAGGAATGCGTAAATATTGTGATCTGTGGATGCCGTGCTAACACTAGGGTGTGTAGACGTGTCTCAAACCTCGTTATGTAGTGAAGGGAGTGAACAGTTAAAATGTCAAATTAGTAACGTTGATCTATTGTTAAGGTACCTGACAGTATTTCACGGCAGAGACTTGTTGCCTGCCACAGTTTGTTGGGGCTGAAATATGGCTGTGTGTTTCATTTAATTACAGAAATAAGAAAATAGCCGTAGTTTACCAAAGACAGGCTAAATCAAACTGCACTCACGGCATTTACTTGAATGCCATGCTTCTACCTGCAAAACATTCTTTTCCTATCTGAATGACGAGCATGAGTTAAATGTCATATGACGGTATGCGTATATAGTTTCTGTGCGCAGCAATTTATTAGTCAGATGGCATCGACAAGTGCCGGTGAGAAAGTGTGAATTTGAGAGGACACAGAAAAATCTGGCATCCTTTTTAACTTGGGGCATTTGACCCACAGTATTCATGACCGAGAGCTCGTAAAGAATTGTACGAGTTGCTTGTTAGAAACCTGCGCGCTAGGTGAGGCCCGCTCGAGATTCAGGTTAACTCATTTTAACTCAATAATTTTTTATCGTGTGCTTTAAAGGTGATGAAAGAGGGGTACGTATGCTTAGAATTGTCTGGGAAAGTCAAGTTTTTGCAACAGCTTGGCCGTTATTCTAGTTTTTAACCAACCGAAATTTAACGATCTTATCTCGGACGTTCCATTGGCTTGGTATCGTTAGAGACAGGAGTTTTTACGGCTGTCATGAGCATGGGTGAGAGATGCAGAGAAACCTATCTACGCCTGTCCCACTTTGACATGGGTTCGCCAGGTGATATTATTTACGGGTCCAACGGTGCACTACTATTACTATAGCTGCCATTAAATAAAATGACGGATAATAGCTGCAATTTTACCGAATCGAGAGAGTGGGTAGTAATTACTCACTCAACAAAAAATCGGGAAAGTTAAATATAATAGAACAGAAGTATAGAATGAACTAAACTAAATATGATCCTAAAAATTAGAACAATGCAAAGGAGATTCACTATGTAATAAAACAGGTACTTTCGTACTCAAATAATTGCCAACACTCATTACAACGCTAGGATAAAATATACCTGTAAAATAATTGTCAGTTATGCCCAAACTTAATAACATAGTCCTACCTATTTAGGTCGAACACACTAGATCTCTACGTTTATGTTGCGAGATGGAAAACTTCGTTGTTACCAAAGAACGAAACTTCCGCAAGCTCTGATGCACAAAATATGTTGGCCGGTAGGTTTTTTGTCAGGCTTTCTCGCACCTTCGTGCAACTTTCTTCTCGAAATGCAGCGAGTGAATAATTTAGTCGGCCAGTTTTGCGCCGAAATAAGGGCACAATACTAAGTTGAAAATAACTGGTATGACATGTTATTGCGATACCATAAAATAATTTTTGCGCCATGAGTGATATTTACAAATTAAATAACTAAATGAATACCTTTGATGTAATCATTTAGTTTTTTAATTTTCAATCGAAACAGGAACTTTTCGAATTTCCTACGATACGAGTGATAGTTAAGTCTTATTCACGAGCTTGTGAGAAAGAAAATTTTTACAACCAAACTAACAAGAAAATTTGAAACCATGCCGCGCAAGGACTTCGTATCAGTTCCAAGTTAGTGATCATAGAGGGCACTGAACTTGCTGACTGCCCTTGTTACTCTGCCTGCAACGCCAAGAAGGGCAGGCAGAGGCAGATCCGATCGTGGCCTCCCTAAATTATAAACTGGATCTACCTGCAAGGCCCTCGGGCGAAAGGTAATATTTGGATTCCATGTATCATCTACGAAATTTTTTACAGTTTTTTCTGCTACCATCTTCGTAGTTTCTGTACCTTCACTCGTACTTGTAGAGGCAACAGTGGTGTCGACGACTTTTCCCGGTATTTCACCTGTCACATGACTTGAAGCACCAGCGTTCATGCCACTGGCGCCCTGTCGGCTTTGTGCAGTAGAACCGAAGGGATTCACAGCAGCGTACGGGTTTACTTCGGCGTCATCTGGGACAGACCCCGAATAAAAGTGTGTCGATATTTTCATTGAAGGATCGTGATCGGCTTGCTGTTCGATCTCCTGTCTGAGGACTGGGGCGGCAGGTGCAGGCAAAGTATGCGGCGCGTCCTCATTCGTGGCGCGTCTGAAAGTCTTCTCAGTTGACGAGTGGAAGAGAGTTGAAGTCACGTGCCTTTGATACCCCTTAGAATATCCCTTGTCTGGTGCAGAGTATCTCTTGTTTGACTTTGAGGATCCCTTGTGCGGCGAGGAATTTCTTTTGTGTGCGTCGGAATATTCTTTGTTCGACATTACATTTTTATTGTCTGACTTGGAGTATCCTTTGTTAGCCTGAGGATATCCTTCGCTTGCCTGCTTATATGGTTCAGAGTAGCTAGACCCATAGCCGGAAGTGTGAGCTGTATTCAAGTAGATTCCGTCCAGGTTATAAGAATCATAATCTTCATACTCCTCTTCTTTGAAATAACCTTTTGGTATGTAATGTTTATCTTCGATGAAGTATGCTGTAAACAAATACAATTTTATTGAGCACAAATAATCTTCAAATATTCGAATTTAATGACTCTCCAAAAAATAATAATTATAGTTAAAAATTCATTGTATGCAAGAGCCTCTAATTTAAACATTAACATCAAGAAACTTATCATAGCGAAACATCGAATTATTAGTGAGCACATAGTACCTTGGCGATAAAAAATTAGTAGTAATTAGTTATTTAAATTAGCATTCATTGGCTTACCAATGAAAAGGGCAATGGCGATAATAGCCAAAATCTGGTTGGCAATTTGCAGGGGCTTGATGACGAAGGCGATGAGAGCTGCAATGCCGGCGCCGATGGCTGCCAGGAGAGCCAGGAACGCCGCCAGACCCTCTGCGAAGCTCACGCTGCCACCTTTTGTGATGGTCACCGGTTGGCCGACTGTGACCGTTGGGATAGTTATACCTTTTGTGATGGTTACCGGTTGGCCGGCTGTGACCGTTGGGATAGTTATACCTTTAACATTTTGTTTGCTCTGTGCTTGCTCAATTATTGGTGGCGGAAAAGCAGTTCCCGGGTGGCCGACGGCGTCCGTTGGGATAGTGATGCCTTTGAAGACATTTTGTTTGCTCTGTGCCGGCTCGAATACTGGTGGGGGAAGAGCAGGTTCTACCAGATTTAACGAAGAGAGCAGAGCTACCAGAGTCTTGCTGAATACACCCACTTCGTTGAGAATCTGGCGACATAAATTAAAAAAAAAATCACTTTATTACATCTATTATTGGTCAAAACATAACATAATATACATAACATATTTTTTTAATTATCTGGAAAGACATCAGCCAATTCATCTTATGACCAATTACACTTGAAAATTCTCCCAAATGAAAGAAAGTCAATGGGTGCAAAATTAGATTTTGAATGCACAATAATAAAACGGAATCCGATGTTTGAATTCCTCCGTCCTACGCAGAACTGATCAATTGCTGCTAGCAATCATAAAGTGCTATTATTGCGGTTCAGCTTCTAAACTTACCTATATATCTTTAATCTATTACAAATTAACTAAAACACTAGCAATATGTCAGAAATTTTTCATTGTTTCACACATTTTATCAGCTATCGAGGCTGTAAACTATCTATGAATTATCGATTCTCATCTTGAGGGTTATCACTTTTAATTACTATTCATAAGAAACTCGATGAAAATTATGAGTTGAGCTCACCGGAGAATCTGGGACGAAATTAGTTAGATCAGTTTTTTCTTTGCGTTCTTTATTTGGAGTTTGATTGTGGTTGCTCCGTTCAGGAGTTGTTGACGATACACGGACGTCAACTCCTGGGAGCCCTTCCAACAACACCGCAACGTCGTCCGTACCATAATTATTGGCGGAGCTTGAAGTACTAGCCAGATTTCCAGTTAATGCAGGATTGGTGAGAATATTCACAGAAGAGTTCGAATGCAATTCTTTAGGATTTTTATCGGGCCCAACGTCTTCCGCTGTCGTCAATTGATCCAAACCATCATCATCTTTAGGAATAATAGTGGATGTTAAAAATCCCTCGTTCACCGATAGTGACTTGACGGACGAGCTCAACGCCGTGAGCCAAGTGACGATGAGCAGTGTCCACATCTGCAAAATACAAATTTTTACCTGTTAGACCTCAATGGAAGCGCCAAAATCTAGTGCACACATCTGTAAAATAAAATTCTTTATTCTGTTAGACCGCAATGTAAGCGCCAACATCTAGTGCATCATAAATCACAATTTCGATCCCGAAAAAATTATTTTTTTCTCTTTAAGATGCATAGAGCGCTAGGTGGGGAAACTGTCAATGATCTGACTGATGTCAGTCTTTTTCCTGCATTACCGTCCCTAAAGCACCAATTTGTTGGCATCAAATAATGTTGCGGGTTCGAGGATTATTCCTTACGGCTCAAGCTTGACATCGGATGCCAGACAACAAATATTGAGGGCACGCATGTTTTAATCCATCACGCAAATCTACTCTTCCCGAAAATTAGCAACGCAATGCTAGAATACGGTTATGAATTTTTTCCGGGTTGATCGAAATCAAACTATATTTTTAGACTCAACAGGTTTGTTCGCTGTATGTCAATCGTTGTGCAAGAATAGACAACCGTCCACTAAAGTTATAGCGTCTTTTTTCCATAAAGATCGAATGATAGTTGACGGCAATCAAGAAACTCCGAACGTACGTTACCGGGGGACAGTCGTGCTGCAGTAATTGCGGTGTTCTGAGACCGTAGCCTGAGGCGAGGAGCGTTTTTTTGTCGAATGACGTTGAGTGGAACGCAGCCGCGGCCCGACAATTGAATGAAGAGAGTGGCAGTGCTCAGTGTTTAGTGCAACTGCCCAAAAACGCATCATATCCTGACTAGATTGCAGAGACAGCTCTATAGAATTAGAGTATGAGAAATATGTAATTTAAACGTAATTTGAACGCAAATTCTTACGTTCAATAAACAAACATTGAGCTTTAGGCGATTGTGTCGCGTATGCCAGAGCATATAAAATAGACTTACAACATCGCATTACAGTCAACCCGCTACGTCGCATAAACATTCCATTAAAGACCGAGGAAGTCCAAACAAAAAATCTTATATGAATAAAGGCCCATTTGCATGAATATTAAATGAAGAAGAGCAGGTGTTTTGAATACATTAGTTGTACATTTTACATTATTATGTAAGAAACAACTACTCAAGTGTAGAACTGGCCTTAGAATGTGAATGAAATTGTAGTATATTTTAGTTTTAAACGCAAGTCCAATTAAAGTATGAAATCCTTGGGACGTGAGTAAATCGCTTAAATAGGATGCCGTTCTAATTTTGATATCTTCTCCAAAGTTTTTCTACTATTTGAGCCAACAATTATTTCAACTGGTAATAGCCATTTATGCTTATTATCATACAATAAGTTAATTAACTGAGTAAACCAGTTTGATCAGTAAATATAATCAATTAACAAAAATGAATGAAATGATTGATTCGGACGTGAATTATTAACCTACGATTTATACAATATATACATGCTGAAATGTGATCAAAATCTCTCTTCTAACTATAAATCTCGTGGCCCAACAATCATTTTTATTAGAAAGCATTCACACAAATGAAGCTCAGGCTTGGCTTGGATGTAGGACATAATTTGCCAAGCCCGCGTCCAAACGACGTACTACTAATATTGCATTGCAATAACTATGGACGCAAATTGAGCTCAACCTGCAATCATAGCAAATACGCAGTTTTACACCCCTCAATTCTTGAGTGCTTTCGTAAGTTCATTCCAGCAATCATGGCTCCAAACAGAACAGTAAAGAGAGGCCTTTTGCAACCTGTTTCGAACATGCAAACTAGATCCATTTTCAATCGTTTTTTATCCAGCAAATAATTTCTGTGATTTCTAAGACAGCAACGCGAGTATTTTTTCTGTAAACTATTAGAACAGCCGACGTGCCTAACTGGGTAGGGAAAATATTTCCTGAGATCCGGAGACGCAGACAAAAAAGGACATGAAACATTTGTACGAAACAATAAAATGTATAAAAAAATTTTTTAAAGACCACGTTTTTCATGTGGACTCAAAAGTAGAAAATAATTTTTCGGCAGCTACTGATCTCTGTTTGCTTTCATTCTCTTGGTCTTTTGTATTTCAGTTAAAATATTTTACACCATCTAAAACGAAAAACGTGGGGCGCATATGTATTTAATTGTTTGGTGATTACTTGATATGATGAATATGATGGTTCATTGAACATTTGATAAGTGTATTGCTGATATAATTAGAAATAGTGGTTGAATTAAAAATTGAAATTAAGGCATGCCTAAATGAAGATGCGCCCCACGTTTTTCGTTTTAGATGTAAAATATTTCAACTGAAATACAAAAGACCAAGAGAATGAAAGCAAACAGAGATCAGTAGCTGCCGAAAAATTATTTTCTACTTTTGAGTCCACATGAAAAACGTGGTCTTTAAATTTTTTTTTATACATTTTGTTTTCTACTTTTTAGTTTTTTAAGTATTTTATTTTCTCATTTTTAGTCCGTTGCTACACATGAAACACGTTGTTGCGAGCCAGTTTACTTGACTTGATGTACGTATCGATGATACGAAGCGTATCATCGATATACGCAGTCTAAACACGAATATCCTCTCGAGGATGACGTGCATTAAAGGTTCCAACCCCTGCTTGTGAGTTCATTTAGAGTTTATACGCCTGGAAACGTGCAGCAAATTATTGATTATTGTATTGTTATCGGGAGCTGAGCTTCCCTAAAAGTTTCAGAGCGCTAGCTAATGGGAAACTTGGTGAAATATCGATTGCAAGATTTGATCATCACAGACACGAAAGCGAGCTAAGAAAAACGTGGTAAAAAAAGGACATTTTGTACGCAGACTTACAAAATGGACATGAAAGTACGGAAGTACGGCCGACGATAATGTTGAGAACTGTGAATAGACAAAAACATAAGTGAAAATTTTTTTTCTAAATTTAGTGTGGTCATCGTTCCTCGCCCTTGCTATATCAATATGAAAACCACTCGCAATCAATAATATAATTTCAGTTTACGCCATTTGACCAATTGTAAACAATATCTTACCGAATAGCATTATAGCAATAAAATGTTTCCTTTTCCTGAAATAAAATGTTTCTAATGTTATGATAAACTTTTAATCGACCATAATGTGCCCATAAATCCTCTTTCAATAAAAGTGTGTTGCATTGCAATGTCGTTATTCTTGTCAATTTTTGTTGACTGAAATTAGTTGACTCTATCGGTTCCTTTTCGTAACCAAGTGTGCTAGACCAAATGAGCATGAACGAGAAACATCGACAAATTTTCCGAAACTTATTCTTTTCAAAATAAACGTAACTATAAAAAGCTGACCAATATAAAAATGGCAGTCCGGGTGTTCTATTTCTTTGAAGTTCGGCCAATAATTGCCCTGTTTTGCATGGAATTTTCATGCAGCTCTAATTCCATTCAAATTAGGTTTTTACGATTGGTGAGGATCACTTAGAGTTTTCTTTTGGCCTCGCCTTGGAGTTTCTCCCTGAATAGAAACCTGTCATCAGGATCAAGTCTTGCGTGCAGTTGTTATTAAATGATGTTCCTTGATATCGTGCTTGTCTATAGACGTAAAAGTCTCTTTCGATACTAGAACCAAGCACTATTTTGACAGATAAATATCTTCATCATTATAGAGAAAGATGAGCAAATAGAAATTTTTCGCAATTGCGCCGGGAGCGGCAAATTACTGAACATAATTTCAAACTATAGTACTTTACGGTTCGCGCTTTCTTTCTATCTATATTTTCAAAAAAGACGTTCTAAATATTGTTTCAATTCACCTTTTTAATGGTCTATCACAGGAAAATAACATATTGGGCAGAAATCTTTCGGGCTTAAATTTTTTTGTTTGCATTTACTCACATAACGTTTAATTGAGAGAAGGTAAAATTATTTTTCAATTTTACTTGTCCGATAGTATTCAATAAGACGTTATTACATCTTTGTAAATGATTTTTTCTGACTAACTAAATTATTGAATCTCGGTGCAACACCGAAGAATGTTAGCTAATCCTAATGCAATTCAACCAGCTGACCTCTTTTCCCACAAAAACCTGTCAGAGTAAAGATGTTCTGCAGTGCCTTATGAATGAACATTCGGGCTAGTGGGCAAGTAGAATCAATTTGATCTGTAGCCGGGTTATACAAGGTAAGTTTTATGAAACTGCTCGGTGGACTATGATGATAGGTTACTGGACTTTGTAAACTGTGGACAATTCGAGGGATGGTAAGAGTATGAAGTGCTGCTTCGTTCTTGGGTTTTGTGGCTGACAGTAATTACATCTTCGACTATTCACTACTATAACTAATAGTGTAAAGATTTTCATACATGGAAAGAATAATGTAGGTCAGTTATTGACAGCCAGCTCAAACCAGGGCTGATTGGTGTTGAAAATTGTTGGTCCGCGGCTGATTGGGTTTCAAAATTGTTGGTTCGCGGCTTATTGGTGTTCAAAATTATTGATCCGCGGCTGCATCCCAGTTGATAAACATTTTATTTATTGCTTGCTTGTAAAAAAAAAACATTCAAATCTACTTGAGTAAGTGGTATACATATTATTTTGTTTTCTGTGTAAAGCTAATTAATATATTTTTGTCTCGTCAAAGTGGTCTGATAGCTGTTGTGATTTAAAACGATCCTATTTTCATATTTCTGTTAATAGGAAGAAATTGCATTTAATTCTCACTACCGAAGACACTGAAGTCTTGATCTGTTCTTATTAATGTAATGAGTTTCATCAATGTGTTCATCTAGAAACCACATTTATTGTGGCTGATTTGATTTTATATACAAGAAAACTAGCATAGATTTTGGGACGTTTTAAAACTGAATGGATCTTTAGAAATAACATAATCTACAAATCTTATTCGAATTAAGTACTTTATTGCGCAAATTAGGTAAGAGATAACTACGAAAAATTTTCAACATGTTCCCTAAAAACGCTTGAATCGGGGCTGAACTTTAAATTTTAAAAAATATTTTTATTCATAAAATACTTTATAAATAAAATATATAAAAATCTTATACATTTTTAATATTTTACGCCTAAACAAAAGCGCAAATTATATAATTTACGACGAGGCAGTCGTGTTTTTGCTCTCACTCTATATAGCTATTATACAGCCGGTAAACCGGATCCGATCTAGTAGTACTTTATCTGTCCAGCAGGAAACTTAACGAATAATACATTTTCATTCAGAGGTTAAGAAACAATTCCGGACCTACCACAGTGAAAGAATCGTATTGAGGTGAAGTAACGGTAGAAATCTACTTCTTTTTGCTAAAATAGCGTCCCTGCAAGATTATCAAGGGCTATTATTTTACAATTTCTTTCTTAAATAAATCGGTATCTTCAGAATCTACGACAAACGAGCCTCCGCTCTATTAGCAGGTATGACAGACAAGTTTGTTGAGCCTCACAGTTACAGATTCCTAAATAAAAAGATTTCTTCGGGTTAATAGAACTAGAATACATTAGCGCGCCGGCGACCAAACAAACGGTCACCATGTTTGTGGAATTGAGATGCAAGACGCGCGATTAAAAATGGCTATGGCCTACGATTATACATTCACAACACCGTTAATGAAAGCCAGTATCGGAGAAGTTGATATGCTTGTATGGTTACAAGATTAGCATTGATATTCTCTCTCCCATTTCATTATCTTTTTCTATAATTTATTGTTCATTTCAGCTGAGGTCATCAACCCCTGTCCCGTAGCAACATTTATTGCAAAACGTGCGGCCAAAGCGCGCTGATAAAATGCTCCAAGAGGCTCTTTTGTCCACTGGAAAGTGGGTTACAGTCCACAGTTGTTTTTTTCAAAGGGCCTTATTGCAGCGACGCCGCTAATAGGCACATGCCCAGATGATGGGTGCGCAGAGGTTCGAGAAAGCCACGAGCATCGAACTTTATAGGTCAGGAAGTTAGCCAAACGCGTCGTTCTCCGAAATATTTTCAGGAATTTGAGGATTGGTTATGAGTATTTAATCTTTACAGCTAGCAAATGAGTACAAAATTCAGGAGTTCGAAAACAATAATGATACACAAGATACTGCAACGCTTCTAATGTTTATTTGACAAGCACATAATACATTTTGTGAATAGCTCAAAATTTAATAATTTCCACTATAGGAATTTGTCGAATCGACATTTCTCCGGTTCAACCTTCCCTAATTCTGAGCTGACTGAGCTACGAAGGCTAAAATTTAACTCAATCAAAAAGCAAATAACCGATTTATTTTAATGAGAGAGAGAGACTCAGTAACAATTAATTCGTGCAGTCTTAAGTGCTGAAACGTCGTTGATTATTATATTTTATAGTTTTAGCACTTCTAAGTAATAAAAGATCAAACGACGCAAATTCTCTTACGTTCAATGAACAAACATTGAGCTTTAGGCGATTGTGTCGCGTATGCCAGAGCATATAAGATAAGCTTACAACCTCGAGTTACAGTCAACCCGCTACGTCGCATAAACATTCCATTAAGACAGAGGAAGTCAAAAGAAAAAATCTTATATGAATAAAGGCCCATTTGCATGAATATTAAATGAAGAAGAGCAGGTGTTTTGAATTCATATTAGTTGTACATTTCCAGGAAAAAAGCATGCGCAACGCCCGGTAAAGAAGATTTATGCGCTTAAGCGCTTCTGCTTTATATGGTGCTTTTTTATTTTCGTGTGAGCAAAAACATTACAGGTTCTATCCCATAAATTCTTCTGGTTCTGACTCAATGAATGAGGTTGATAGCAGGTCACTCATTTCTATTCGGTAAATGCTCCTGGCAAATGTTGAAAATTATGAAACAAAACATAAAATCACCTTAATCGCCCGGTATGATTAACTTTAGATTTTTACACAAATAATTATTTTCTTAGATTAGATTACGCAGTGTGAGCTGTGAGTGTGATTTCCACCTTGAAGAGCACACACAATATAGCGCTCTAAGATGAACTTTATTTCAAGTTTAATTGTACAGTATGAATATTCCTGATCGCAAAAGCTCTAATTTTATGAATGTAGTAAAATAGGAAGTAAGACAGCAGAGTATAAAGGACTGAGTCATGCGCCTACAAGTATGAAGACGACACATCTGTCCAGGTGAGAGCTAACGGGCTTCGCGATAGCATACCCTGTCTACTGGAACGGTGCTGGCCATAGGAAGCCTGGCTCGTAGCCGCAGGGAGACTCATGCCCTCGTTAACTTTACTGTCATTTCTTCCACTCGCTCACACTTTCCCAAGTCCTCCAAAAATCTCATGATTTTACGATCAATCGACAGATTAATCGTACAGATCATTTGTCGTCGAGTAGTTTTTACAAGTTTATCTACGGTGCGCTGACAAAATAAAATGATCTTGGTTCACTCAAAAGAAACATGAAGGCAGAAGATTGATTTCTTAGGAAAACTAATCATGCTGTGTAAAAAACCCCATCGTTTTAGGATTATATCAGAAGGATTGAAAAATAAAATTTTAAACTTATCTTTCAGCCAAACCAATCATATTTAGCGCTAACTCTTATCGTATTGGGTAATTGTGTCAGGTTGATCGATTAATGAATGATATAGTAATAAGTTGCTTTTATTCACTCAACTGTGTAAAGTTCTGGTTAAAACGGGTAAGATTGAATAAAACTTTGCTGACACATTAATTTTTTAGATACGTGGTGCTCCAAGTCCATGTCTAATATTTATTTATCAGCAAACTATTTAAAATTTAAGTTGTATTTCAAGCGCTTCAAAAGACTCACGAAGCAGATTTCGGAAGAACGGTGGGAGACAAGGTCGATGTAGGTCAGTCTCTATAAATATTCATGTCGCATTTCATATCGAGGTCACCTATGACTCGTATGATATCATATAATTGCCTTATGCAGTTTGTTGTGCACTAAGATGATAATAAATTGGTGCAACCGTGATAGCAGTCCAGTAGGTGCCGGAGATGCACTTCATCCTCGTCTCCGCGGATCACGAGGTTATCTATCACCGCAGCTATGACGAGCGGAGACGCCGGGGCGTCTTTGTTCAACATCCGAAAGTCTTCCTTCGTCCCAGATCGCCGTATCGATTGACCTCGTAAGTTGCGGACCTTCTCAGTACAGTCATTTCAATGGAAGAACCATATGATGCTAGCCAATGTAAGTATTGAAGTGATATTCACGTGTACTCCATGAGTGTCCTAATGCTGTACGATTATTTTAATTCTGTGAAGTTCGATAAGTTCGATCGCTTACCTTGTTAAAATTCAACGATGGTGTACAGGAAGTTTCAAACGCATATACGAATTATGAATATAAATAAACGTACATATGCAATTAATATAGCTAAGAAGCGTTAGCGGGACGTTAAATGCAAATTCTATTATGAATTAATTGCTTTTATAGCGAGTTGATCATATCAAGAACAAGAGAAGCAGGCATCTGGTGCCAGAGGGGAATGCTTGGAGAGTCCAGCCGGTCGTTGTGCATGGTAGTGCGCAACAAGCGTCTGAAGGAGACGATTTTACTTACGAGTATTGATAATATAAAAACAACGTGCCTGAAAGCGCAACAGGGGTCCAAATGAGTTGATTTTACCCTGGAGTATTTGTATTATAAATTCAACGCACTGACTAAGGATCGCAGTTGATACTTTTTTTCTGCTAAATCGTCAAATTATCGTTGATAAATCACTTTTAAGTTGATAAGTGGAGTACAGTTTATTTAAAATAAAATATTGAGCAATTATAGTAACTTTTTATTTAAACAGAAAACGAATCAATATTTACGAGTTTCACGTACGTTCAAACAAATTTGAAATAGGAATAATGTTCATCGTGACTTATCAACAATGCCCCAAATTTTTAAATAATATTTTAGCTTCCACTAATACTAACTAAGGATAAACAAATTTTTTGTTTGCTTGTGAAATGAAGGTAGGCATTGTCATCATGTTAAAATTAATTTGATATTTATTCGTCGAAAATTTCATCAGTACATTCCGTGCAAGTACATCAGTACATTCCGTGAAAGCTATCATAAAGCAATAAACTACAAAACAAGCACCCTGTTGATCAGCTGGAACGAAAATCCTTTACTAAGAAAAAATGGCATCATCCGAGAACTACTCACTATAGAGGTAGACTCCAGCCGCACCAAGGAGCACGCGCACGTAACACCGAGTTTGAACCTCAACTAACAGGTTGCCCGCCCTCTTCCTTCCTTATATACACTCACGTGACCCGAGACGGTTATCCCAAATCTCTTGTCGTGTTTTTGTATTTCTAACAGTCTTTGATTATTGCCTCTAAATAATACGATTCTTATACGGAAAAATTTGTTCATTCTTTACTAACAATAAATAATTATAGCTCCGATGAAAACTGGTTTTGAAGGAAAATCTTGTTCTCGGAGAAAAAGAGGGACAAGTTTTTACTGGATAGGCCAGTATGGTAGCCTGGCCTGAGAGCAAGGCACGAAACTTTCTTGCGGCTGACGGGCGTCGCCTTCCCGGATATCGGAATAAGCGTGAGGCGTTTTAAAAAGATAAGGGAGAACGTTGCCCAAGGTTCTCATATTGACGGTTGGTTCTGATGTTTCAGCCCCGAGTCACAGCGGCGAAGCGTTATTGATTTGCGCAAATTCAGGTTGTGATTTTTTTGCAATTTTTATTTTAGTAGCAATGATTTAGTCGTGCAATGATGCCCAAGACCAAGCAGACGTATACTCAGCAACCATCATCTGGGTTTGACATTTTTCTCGTTACAACGTTTCCTGCATCACATACATAAAACTTATATTTTTGATCATGATTTGTATAGCGCACTTTGATATTTCCCCTAGCTTCTATTCTGTAACAGGGATATTTTTCAAGTTCCATTCTTTTGGCTGTATCCGATATAACTAGCAACATACTGTGCAAAATTACATCAAATACATGTAAGAATTATTATTAATAATTAATCATAATACTACGAAGAGGTTTGATGCACCCTTCAAGAACGGGCAGTGATAATTTAAATAGGAAAATACTCCGCATGCGCTTTGAGGGTATTGGATACTAACCATGCAGTGCCGTGCGTGATCCTACATATGTATACCGTGCCAGGTGGTTTGTGTCATATTGTTGTAGCACATATGCGCCTGATGTATTTAATATCTCGCTTTAAATATGTCATGGCACCTAAGAAATGCTTCAACTACGTGTAGTATCTTGTAAGTTGATTATGATTGATTCCATCAAAATTCTTCGCGAACTCTGTAAAATATTATAGATAAGTTAATCCACCTTTGGACCATAATTACTTTGTAACTAATACTTGATAACCTGAACTCCGATCAATATTGATATTGCGGTTATTAGGAAGCGTCTTTATAAAACCTTTTACATAAGTATGCAGAGTTTACTAGACTATTGTATTTTGCTTACTGAGAGTAAAAATGTTTAGAATATGTCGATTAGGATCATCTCCCTGGAATAATACTAAACGCTGGAATAATACTAAACCCTAACATTGACAGGACAAAAACGCGCGCCAAACAGCCGAAATTGAATTTTTTTCAACATATTTGCAATAAAAACGCAAGTTGGAATGGCTGTAATACCTTGTGTCTTGTACATTCATGAGGGACAAATGTAAAGCGCCTGCATGACAGACCGAGTATAGGCATGCCCTCAGGCCAGGCGAGCTGAGCTCAAACTTCTTGTGTGACAAAAAATATTCCTGCTGCGACGAACGATTTACTCGGTAAATCGGAACACGTCTAAAACAAGGCGAGCTCGAGTTAATTTAGGGAATGTTTCGTCGAACTCTTAGATAGAGTCTGGAGAAAGTGCACTTGGAAACAAGAAGTTTGTCGCCTGCGTCCTGAAACTCTAAAATGCGTGTATTTATAGCACCATGTCGTAATTGAATGAGAACTGAGAGAAAATTACGTGTACGAATAAATGTCCCAAATTATTTGTTGCGCTAATTTTCTTGACTACCAGAAAATACTTGAGATAACACGCGGTAAACATATTCTTCATTATCAAGCTAGTATATTAAGCTAAAGATATTCAAAAATTGTGATCAGGCATCCCTTTTTCTTTGAGCCCAAATTTGATAGTTTTTCCGTACACCTGAAGCAGTAGAAATTTAAATTTTTCTTTGTCGTTTTAAAACTTTTCCTTTCTGCCTGATAAAAGCCATCTTCGCGATCAGTTGCCAGGCAGGCCTTAATGAGGAGGTCTAATCCTGGAAGCAAGGAAGAAGCGTGGATCACAAAAGTTGGCAATCAGGACCATAGGCTCCTAACAAGATTGTCCCCCTGAAAAATGAAGAAACTTCAGAGAAAGTGATAATTGTCGTCTCAGCAGAAATGGAGGGGGTTAAACAAAGAAAATAAACAAAAACACATGGAGTGATTTATGAAATATTTGATGACCTAACTTTGAAGTCTAACGCATTTTTTAAGTTCGGTAAACACCAGAAGAAAATTTGGACTGGTGCCATGAATTTTGAAACCAATAATAGTTGGTAATTTTGTGTAACAATTGCAGTTTTCCGCTTGATCTACTTTGGCTTTACTTTCTTCGATTTTCTGCTTGCTGGAACCATCTAAACTCTCGTTTAGTGAAGAGTTCTGAGTAAATAATGAATAAAACTTCTAAGGAGTACAGTGCAAATCGATTGGGAAGGTTTGGGAATTATGACCTTAGCAATGGGCAATGAATCTTAATTATATACTCATAATTTTCCTATTTTTAATCATAAACTTTTAACATCGATACAGGCTATGGAATATAAGTGATGCTTTAAAAAGAACCTCAAGATTTTGTGGCATTTCGTGTGTCAATTTTTATGCGAGAATAAAGCGATATAAACACAGAAGTAAAATTCGTGTTCGCTCAATCAGATATTTTTTCCTCGTCTTCATCAAAGTAGGAACTCTGAGAGTCTACATACGTGAGCATCAACCGTGATTGGGAGCGCTCTGGCGTCTCTGGAGGGCCGTTCCAGAGATCGGCCGAGACCGGGCAGGGAGTTACAATCGCGACTGACCGGTCCTGGGGGAACCGGCAGGTCGCGCACGGCAAAATCCCCCCGCCTGTCGTCCTGCCCCTCGTCGCCGTGACTGATTTTATAGACATGCAATGTAATCAACGGAGAGTAATAATTGCATTACCTCACTGCCCTACTATGCACTAAATTGTGGTGCGAGCAACAATGAAGAAAATCTGGTTTGCAAAGGACGTGTAAAGGCATTAACATTAAGCGTAATAAAAATTGTTATCGATGGTGTATACATAAATAAACCTGATTTGGACAAATAAATACTTGTGAATATGAAAATATTCACAATATTTTAATATTCATAAATAAATATATTGAAAATATTATAAATATTTATGAAAAAATATTTTATACATAAATATAATATATACATGAACCTGATTTGGACAAATAAATATTCGTAATGTATTAAAATATTCACAATATTAGAGCAAAATATATAAACCTTATCAACTGTTCAATTACTGTGCAATCAACTTGCGCAACAAACAGCATGCATGTTGCTATCTTGCGACTGTTGATCGATCAACATTATAGGTCAGGGATACTACGCTAGAGCGTAATTTCCTCCAGAACGGTCCGCTTTTGTAACGAAAGGATTTACTACTGGAGCCTAAGAAATGAACCCCACGAGAAGAACGATTTATTCTTTCCCTGAGGGACAAGCAGAGATGATGGTAAGCTCAGCGATTTGGTCTCCAGATGTTGTGGGGTCGCGAAGGCGCCTTCAGATAAGTGTAATGAGCGGCTCAGCCTGCCGTCAGACCATCCACTCCGAGTTGGTCTATTTGCCAATTGTATTATTTAGATGAACATATATTGTTCGTTATAATTGAATTTCAGTAATACAGAAATGTAGAACGTACCTGATGAGAGAAATTCGGTAGAAGAAAAACTTTGACATAAAATAATTCTGAAACTTTGATCACGTACGTCAACGCATGATTGAAATTCGACCGTTCATATATAAACAAGATTTATCAGTAGTATATGCGTTAGAATTGAAATGATTTATTTGAATGCTCAATTTCTATAAAAAATTTCAAATTTGGTTCCAAGATCCATATGATAATTTTTTTCATTCAACGGCTATTGAGTCGTTCTTCCATGTCTTCCAGTTTAAATAAAAACATTGTTTAGTTTTCATGATATTAAAGTTTTTGAAATTTTTTCCTCAACATACTTGAGTCATGAGGAAGGAAGCTTTATAGATTTGTGCATTTATAATTTTGGTTTCAGTTATAACCTAATTATAATGTATAAATTTTGTGACGGGAATGCTGTTGCTGAAATCTTCGGTATCAGTAGAGTGTTCTTATGACGATGTTAAGTGAAGCCATTAAGTTAACTGAAGCGATTTCGTGGTTGGCGAAGGCGGTCACTCAAAATAAACTCCTCTAATAATGTAATGATGGCTGAATCCCTCGCGAGTGCGATTTCCAGTTTTTGCTGCACTTCTGTGCCTCTCGGCAAACTTTTGTCAAATTTTGAATTAAGATAAAGCATGTTTTGAAGTCTGGTCAAAATAGTTATTTATATCTAGCGTATGGTATTAATTTGAGGTTTTCTCGTGATTATTTGGAAAATGAAGATGAATCATGGTGCGGAAATTTTTTTGGAAACGATCAAACAATTTTAATAAACTGAATTGTTGATCAGAAGACTTCATAAATCTGAAAAATATCACAACCAGCCACGGGTCTGATATGCGTGAGGTTCAACAGTATCCTGTAAGCGACTAGTCTTCTTTAGCCGCAGTACCTGGCCACCGCATAAATGGCACCTCATTTTTATTCCCTTTTACTTGATCCCAGCCATACTACAACGGGGGCGCAACGCTGGCGGTGCTTCTGTTTAAAACACGCTGGCTACTCGGTTCTATTTATCAATGTAAGTGAACCATTCGGTTACAAGCTAAGACACAATATTTCACTCGCGGTATCTGTGTGGAAAATTTCAGCCTTAATTGTGGAATAAACTGTTGCAAGTGGCTCAAATAAATTACAATTGGTATAAATTAGGCGTGGAAAAAATGTATTGATGTAAATTGAGTCAACCTATGCACGCTAAAAACTCGTGTACTCGAAAGTTGTAGGAAATACATTGTTTAAAAAATGTTAAAATAATC